GCGGGGCAAGAATGGCACAGGGAGTGGATTCCGCAAAGGAGGCATGCTCAGGTCGGATGGAGCTGTTGCGGCTGGTACCATGAATATTGACCAGCAAGGGAAGCTTGGGTTTGTCATAAGGGCTTTCTTGAGAGGCGCCGTTGGGGTCTGGATTGTAATGTGTGGGAGGGATGTACAGAGTGTAGGACACGCGCGGTTCAGCTGCCAGAGTGCGCTGGGGGATGTGTCCGACGAGAAACGCCGACTTAAGGAACTGTGGCGGTACTTCGGGAGTGGTAAGAGGTATGTCCATGATTGCGCGACTCTGTTGCAGATATTCCCTCAGGTGTGGTCGGAATACTACAAACTGAGCGTCCTGCGACACTAGTAGTATATAATCTGACGGTCGGAAAGAACGGAATGCCGATATGCCGATGACTAGAACTGTTGGGCCGTAAGCGCTAAGGACAACGTTTACCCTTAGGGATGAGAACGGCAGATTGGAGCGTTATAAGTGTAAGCTGGATAGAGTAGTAAAACTGTAGCAAGCGTTCAACGTTGAGAGTTTATTCCGAGCCGTAAGCCGCATGCCCGATCTTAAGTGGTTGCGGGGACATGCGGAGGGTAAGTGGATCCAACAGATATTGGTACCAACAAAAGCGTTGAGAACATTCCTTTGTGGCCGATCTGACATCTCTCATCTCAGTTGGGTGAGCGATTAGGTCAGGTGGAGTTGAGTTGCTTATCAACTTATTCCTCACACCTCGTTGTCTTCATCAGCAAACAGCGCCTACTCCCAGTATGTCGATTCAGCTTGTAGGTTTCTGACAATATCATCCAAACGTCAGTACACATCTGGGAAAATCATAGGGATGGACTTGCTGGCCATGGCACACGTTGAGAGATCTTCAGTACCCTCGTTGCACAGCGCTTGCCGTGTAATAGGACTCCCTGGTCATGGCTTGTCTAAGCTGGCAATATGTGGTACTTTCATTGATCTCTGGGATTGTAGAACTTTAGTCAACGGAGGATAGTGGAATACTTGGTCAGAGGAGCTCAATGACCGAAGTACCGAGACATGCATAGCCGGACATGATTGTTGGCAACGGTGAGTCGTTGTTGGAAGGATTTGGGCAAAATCACCTGATCTGCAGCTGATCGAGTCACGAGAGCAACGATGCATTGATCTATTCCTTCCTCCCTTCACTTCACCCCTATCTCCGTCTACCCAGTCTTTGGCTTTTCATCGTCCGATGACAAGATTCGATACTTCATGCCGCATGGTCATCCAACTACATAAACCCCAACCCCTGTCTTAACCGGGTCCGATGTCTGGACTGCGATGGCTCAAATATGTGGGCTATCAGAGGGGCTGTCTTTCATTCCACCAGAGTCGCTTCTCAAGGACGAGTTTGCAAATCAGAAGCTGTCTATATTACATACGGGCGTGTCTTCCGATACACAACCAAATAATTGCTGACCAGGGGCATGTCTCGTCGAAATAGTTGCAGCCTAGAAATTGAGCAGATGCGGTGCTAATTGAAGACGCGCAGGCGTTCCTCTGGTTCCCCGCAACTTACGGAGTGCATCGGAGGAAGATACTGGTTTCCGACTAGTGGTACGTCTCTTTCAAAACTGGTTATATTTCATCTTCTATATTGCCCCTTAACTGGACAGCTTGAGTGGACGGCGAAGAGGATTCTAGCGTCATTAACAGCTAGCAGCATCTTACGATATATTAGAGGAAGCGAAACACGCGCTACACTGTCTTGCAACACTGCCTATGACAGGCCGAACTAGCGTGGGTAGAACATGTCTTAGTTATTTTGAGTTCCACGGTTAACGAACGCTTGTGAGACATCAGGAACTGACTGATTTTATGGCTGAGACAAGCTTTAGCCAAGCTTTGGGACGGCTTTCGGCATCGCATCCGGAGTCCCTAGCTGGTCCGAATTATGATTCATGGAAAGCTGACAAGGGGGTGCACGAGGAGTCAGAAAGAGGATAAATCAGGCATGGCTTTGCTCAGTTACACCCAATTGGTATTAGGAGACCTTTGGCCCACTACGGTGAATGGTTACTTAGTACATCCCCCGGCTGCATATTCTTCCAGGGTCATCTCGCTAACGGTGTGACCGGATTTGGGCGGGAACTTTAGAACACCAAAGAGTCAAGGACATCTTCTGACCAGCTGATCCCGGGTGAGACATGGATAAATAATGAAGGATCATCGCCAATGAAGTCCGACGGCCAGACCCACCGTGGAAAAATGCAAGCCGTTCGGAATAGCGGCTGTTTTCGGCATTAAATATTTCCCCAGGAAGCGGACAACTTAATTGCGGCGCCCCGTTGATCTACGCAGCACCGAGACGAACACTCTGCTAAATACCATGGCGCAGGAGTTTTATGCCATATCAGTCCACCTCCTACGCCGCTGTTTAGAATTAAATATTGATCACCGCTTTCTGATAACAAATGACGGGGACGCGCAATACCCCTGGGTTGGCGCTGGTTAGTCTGTACTAGTGCTAGCACTAGCAAAGCTTGACCCAACAATGGCGCAGGAGAATCCTGCTGCCTAGCTCGGATTGGTCGCCCTCGGCAGGCGTGAAACAATTTCCCCGGCATGAAGACCTGCCATTCGTGCAGATTCGATCCGATTGCTCTGACGTACGATCACCGGGGAATCCCGCAATGAAGTGCAAATGTCCCTGCTTAGCGGATATGGAGGGCTGCGAGCTCGCTTATGATTTTATGATTTACTGTGATGAGACCCCCCGGTGAACTGACCCAGATATGACCCGTCTCTACCATGGTATCGCCGAGCGCCATCAACATGTTATCTTCAGCGGGCCTCTCCAAGACATTTAGTGTACCCATAAAAGTGATACCACTCGTCATTGCCACTGTTCGCCAATACTTTTTGGGTTAGCTGGTCCGTCCTACTCTTAAAATTTGTATGCGATTATCCAATTTCAATATGCTTAAGCGATATCTGCGGGCTTTCGGTCTGCTATCGTTTGGCTGTCGCCTTGTCCCACACGTTCCCCCTTTTGACCGGTCGGTTCGGGGAATCCATGACATGCGGGATTTTCCCTCAATATAATGCTGAACCCGCCGTTCCTTTGCTACTGAAACTACGCTGTTGTTTCATCTTTTCACTGTACTCAGTGTATTCTCCCCGGCAGTCCTTTTTGGCAGTCCTCTGCCACACCCCTCGACTGCGGCATAGCATTCTTGTTCGGACCCAATATGCGCCACATTCCTGCATGGTTCGTGGCCTGTCTGGCTGCGGCCACCGCCTCGGCCTCTGCCCCGACTTGCAGCACCGACAGCAAGTGTCCGGAAGAGTACCCGTGCTGCTACAGTGAGCACACCATGCCTCGTAATTCACGCATATCCTGACATATTATCTTCAAGGTGGACAATGTGGTGTAGGAACCTACTGCCTGGGAGGTTGCAACCCTCTTGAATCGTACTCGCTTGACAGCTGCACGCCCGAGCCCATCTGCAAGAACCAGACCTACTCGTTCACAAGCATGGACAATGCAGTCCTGTACGACCACTACCTTGGTAACGCGTCCGAATACGATTGGGTGTACAGCGGCTACCCCAAGATCAAGAATGATAGTCTGTGGTTGACGATGCCCAACGGCACGACGGGCAGTCTGTACTCCCTTAACCATTACATCTGGTATGGCAAGGTGTCGGCCAAGATCAAGAGCAGCCGGACGCAAGGTGTCGTGACGGGTTTCATTCTGATGTCGGATGATTTTGATGAGATCGACCTTGAATGGGTTGGATACAATCTGTCCAGCGCGCAGACCAACTTCTACTTCCAGGGTGTAGAGAACTGTATGTTCACAGATTATCCTTCCCGTTCTCTAAACTGACAATCTAGATACCAACGAGGTCAATGCCGCCGTGTCTACCGGCAACACCTTTGACGAATGGCACACCTACACCATTGACTGGAAGCCCGACGTGTTGGAATGGCTCATCGATGGCACCGTGATGCGCACCCTGACTAAGAACTCAACCTACAACGCTACCTCGGGTATCTACCAGTACCCCCAGACGCCGTCTCGGCTGGAGATGTCAATCTGGCCTGGTGGTTCGGAAGCCGAGGGTCTGGGTACCATTGAATGGGCTGGTGGTCTAATCGACTGGGACAGCACGGATATTAAGGAGTATGGCTACTTCTACGCGCAGTACAAGGACATCACGATCGAGTGCTACCCTGCCCCGGCTGGAACTATCGACAAGGGTGACACTTCCTACGTGTACACCAGCGACAGCGGTCTGTCAGACACTATTGAACTCTCCGGCAACAGCACCGTGCTCTACAACCTGCAGGATACTGGCCTGAACATGACTGCTGGCACCAAGATGTCGGATTCGGCTACCGCCTCGGGATCCAGCTCCGGAGCCAGTAGCACTGGCGGCAGTAACAGTGGAGACAGCAGCACAAAGAAGAGTGCCGCTTCTGGGTATGGTGAGCGCGTGATGGAGGGATCGGTCCTCGCGGCTGTCGGTGCCGTGGTTGCGCTGAGTCTGTTCTAAATGGGTGGTACACGGTTTCAAGTGTGAACGTGGCACGCGAGATGCTTGATGTGGTATATATTTCCTCGGATCTAGATTGGAAAGGTGTATGACTATAGTGTACTTAATCATAATATCGAGTGTAGATGTACATATAACACTCGCACTGAACATAAAATTGTATTACTGCGGATTGAGTCAGCTATACTATGGCTAGTTAGCTACATTATATAAAAAGTCTCATAGTCCTGTTATACCCATCCACAAAGCTGTGCTATGATACATCCGCCCCACACTGTCACATTTTCTTCCTACTCCTACCACCCACAACAAGAAGAATCTACAATTCCGCAGGTACCCCCGTACAAGCAAGACACAAGTTCCGCACCAGCCCAATCCCCAAAATAGCACACAGCAACATCCGCCAAGTGGACTCATCGCCGCTCTCTATCCACGCTTCCTCAAGCCTACAAAACCATTCACTCATCCTCATCCCCATCTCCACCCGCATCATCATCAACACCAACACCACCAAAAAAATAACACCACCACCAACCCACACCCAACCCCTTTTCCCCCTCCTCCATTCCTTAACACCCCCCCTCCTCACCCTCCCAACCCACTCCTCAATAACCCGAACAACAACCCCACTCCCCCCAAGCACAACCGGCACCCCACTCCCCGGATGCGTACTGGCCCCAACGAAAAACAACCCCTGGATACTCTCATGCTGAATCCTGGGTCTAAAGCACAAGACATTAAGAAACGAATGCGAAAGACCGAGTATCGCCCCGCGATCAAGATTGTATTTGTCCTTCCACGTCAGTGGGGTTTCGATCCTTTCGCATACGATGTGTGGTTCGATGTCGTTGCCTGTGAGGTCGTGGATAGTGGAGAGGATCAAGGCGCGGATGGTTTGGGTGGTGGTGTGCCAGTAGGCGGTTGCGTTGTGGGGGTTTAATGGGGATGTTGGTGATGAGGAGGAGGATGTTGAAGAGAGGAGGTGAGGGACAGGTACTAGGACGACGATAGCGTCTGTGTTCGGTGGTGAAGCTGAGGGGTCGATTCTACTTGGGATGTGTAGGTAGAATGAGGGATGTTCGGGGATTTGGTGGTTTTTGAAGATGGCATCAAAGCTGGACTTGTATTTTGATGAAGGGGGGAGGAATATATTGTGGGATTGGAGGTTCGGGAGGGTGGTGTCCAACCCCCAGTAGAAGGAGATGCTGCTGCATGAGGTCGGTTTGTTTTGGAGGGATTCGCTGTAGGTGGTTTTCGGGAGGAGGTTGTTGTATGTGTAGGTTAGGTCCGCGTTGATGATTACGATGTCTGCTGGGAGGAATTTGCCGCTGGAGAGATGCACGCCGGCTGCGTGCTTGTGGTCGTCGCTGAGGGCGATGGAGGTTACGGGCGTGTTGAGGATGTATGTGGTGTTGTGGCGGATGCTGATTTTGACCAGGGCGTCGAGGATCTATATATATATCTCAGCTAAGATCATGTATAATGGAGTTAATATAGAAGTTGGGGGGAGGCACAGTTCTGAATCCACCAACAGGATACCATATTCCATCTGCCATTTCCGTATACTGTAGCAAAGAGTATGTCGCCGGAGCATCAAACGGGCTCATACCCAGATACATACTGGCGAACGTGAATGCCTGGCGGAGTTTATCTGAGTGAAAGTAGTGACTCGCACGAGTATATATACTCTCGAAGACGTGGAGTCTGGGTAAAGCGAGGAGAAGGTCCCAGCGGACGAGACTCCAGATGGTCGCGAAGTTACGGTGCAAGATATGTTCACAGGACAAGGTATAATGTCGACCGGATTCAACCAGGAAGCGTAGGAATCCTTCGAATCCGTGCGGTCCTTCGTAGGCCTCTATCTGCTCTTTCATCGATGGAATGTCAGTGGACAAGTCAATGTGGTCGTGGTCTGGGAACCAGATGCGGTAGCTAGGGTCGCATTTGCGGAGGGTGATGCCTTCAGCGGAGATGGAGGTGTCTAGGTCTTGAAATATTTGGTGGAAGAACGACGGCATGAGAAGGAGGGATGGGCCTTGGTCGAAGCGCTACAGATGTTAGTATCGCCCTGGGATATATCGAGGGACGCACATAGTCATTCTCTTGCATTAGAGAACAGCGTCCACCGATGTCTGCGTTCTTCTCCACCACTGTCACTTTGTAGCCCTTTTTGGCGAGGCGCGCTGCGACAGCGACACCGCCGGCACCACCACCTGTTGGCTGAGTAGTTAGAGAAGGATGGAGAAGATGAGATATGCTTCATACCGACTACTATGGCAGTGGAAGGCTCCATTGAGCCAACAGCAGGTGCTTTAGGAAGTGAATGAAGTTGTGTAATTTTCTAGCGTTTACGGCTGGGAGTTGATGTCATGCAGTAAGCCATATGCGAGATATGGCGGAGGCATATGGGTGTCACAAGTTTTATACTCAAGGCGTGTGGTACTAACCAGGACAGAGCAAGTGGGAGGGCAGTTAAAGAGGGCTCGATCCACGGGTCAGGCCAAAGAGCAACATGAAAAGGTAAATTTAAAACCAGATAGAAATTGCTGGATTATCATGTAATATCAAATTGAGTTCCGCTTAAACCGGGTATAACACACAGGAACAAGCTAATTGACTCCCAGATCTTCCGCCTCCCAATCATAAGCTACCTTAAGCATCTCGTCGATCTCCAGTGGCTGGTCCAACCTCTCCGACAAAATTTCCAGCACAGCAGGTACATCCACCTCCATGTTATGCTGATCATCCACGGGATCTATCATCAATACCGCATATGGTTGATCCCGCATGCTTGCGGCCTCATAGAAAGCAAAGTCCGGCCTGGATGTTGGCATAAATTCGATTAACAGTGTATCCTCCGCAGCCCAGAAATGATTATGCAGAGCGCTTCCATGTGGGCCAATCACCGCTTTCACGTTTCGATGAACGTAGCGCATCAGCGCGTCAGTGCTGGGAAAGTCCTCGTGGTTGAACATTTTAAGTTCTTCCCTTTTCCTTCTCTTACCGAGAAGTGATTGGATATTTGCCAGAAGAATATCTTCATTGAGGACTTCTCGGCCAGCATTGAGGATCAACCCGTTGGATCGCGTCATGTATAGAATTATTTTCCGGTTTGACTTTTCCACAGGCTGGAGACTATCAGGACTGAGGAGCGAAAGGGACCTCTGTGACAGCCACGGGTGGATAAGCGGTGCACGACAGCTCCATATAAGCTGCGATGCGACAAAGCTCGTATCGCTATGCAACACCTGGTCTGCAGGATATCCGAGGTATGACCAGAACTCCTCGACGGACTTGTGTCCCTTGCGCCCGGTAGCTACGGACTGCGTCTGATGGTCCCGCGACTGAGCGACTGCCCGCATGCCACGGTCGAGAAAGTGCTGCATCGACCAAGAGTCTGGGAAATTTGCCAGCAGCACGCTGTCATGGGTGGGCTCGTCGCTGCTAGGTACAACATGAGAGGTTGTGGCGAGGCCGGACATGCAGGCTTGCATTATCCACTGGTCGAAGGGTGTAGAAGCAGATAGGGTAACATTTTCAAATACCTGGAATATAAGTATTTGTCTCTTGTGCAGGGATGTGTACACTCACATATATCTGACCGTGCTTTTCAGGATAACGCACTAGACCTTTCATCTCATAAGCTCGCTCCCACATCATCCACGTCGTGTTCCACCACCGTTCTGCATCGTGAGGACGGGACGTAGCGAATATTGGAGGGTTTATGGTAAAGGCAGGGTAGATCAGCTCCTCAGCGGATACTACATTCGGTAGTGTCCGAGCCACACATGGCGCGTAGTATCCGGGGGTTGAGTCGGTGCATTCGGTCAGTCTGAGGGGACGAAATCGGTCGGTTTTGGAGCTCGATACGGTTATGTGCTTCCCCAGATTCAATCCAGGCGTGGCAACTCGAATGGTGTAGTCTCCGATGTGCTTGGTTTTGTAGAAGATGAAGAGGAGTGAAAGAGATAGTACAAGCGACAATAGAACGCGCCGCATTGTGGTTGCGGCAGCTATTGAAAATTCCAGTATACCCTCAATATTTCCCAGGTGTATTCATTGAAGTTCAGTAGGTCACGACTGGATATTCAGCTTGTTGCTGTTCATAACGGATTTACCCGAGTACACCAATTCTGTATGCTCAGCCCCAGCGATGACGCATAGCTACACTTGGCACCATGTGCAGATCTAACTGAAGGCCAAGTTGTCGTATTGATCGCTTCACCTTCCATTAACTGTTGGGTTCTTCTCACGCATTGCCCCTGTGCTCGATCCTCTGCCGAGCCCTTCGTGTCAGCTTACAGTTTGGCACGCCTGATTTGCGGCTCCTGCTCGGACACGGATTCGGTACCTCGGAGTTGGTTACGAGCCCGTGCTGACAACGTCGGTCATAGTATGCATTGATCTGCAATTTCAGGCACGAAAACTACTTTCAGAGTTATGTCGACCGGGCTGGGAGTATAGTGGGAGGATGGAAAGTGAGTTAAGAGGGGTAATCCGGTTGTGCTGACAAGGCTGGCTAATCATGATCGCTGTCTGCAGCTAATGCATCAGAAAGGCAGGCATGAATTAGTGCAGATCTCCTAAACTAGGTGATGATCTTCATGCTGCGGGTGAATGCCGAGGAACGCCAACCCACGTAAGATCTTCTGCTCCCACTTCAAAGCCACCCCTCCTGCCGCGAGCCTTGAAAATAGTCCTAAATGATTCAATATCGGCAAAACAAAAAAAGTTCTAGTGTATATCCAAAGACCAACTGCGGTCACCTGCTAGCACGGCTGACGAGGTTTTCCACTTGATACGACCAAGCAACCGACTTCCGGTCTACAATCTTGGCCATATACATAGATGCCAGAATTAACGGCGGGAAAAGAACCGACGCAGCGGCACTCCACGCCAGGATGATTACATGCCAGGCGGACTCATCCTGCTGCGTCTGCCAGAAATCCGTCCCCCACAGATAATGGCACACAGCCTGCAGGATGCGATTGCGCATGACCATGATGAATAAAGGATGAAACAGATATAGTGAGAAAGAGATCATCCCGAGGAATTGGGCCAGACGAGTCTCTAGCGGAATTCGCAGGAATCGAAGATGTCTGAGCGTTCCAACAACAAGGATCGCCCCAACAGCGTGCCATCCCCGGATGCGGATCTCGGGATCTACATAGAACGGTAGCTTGAGGGAGGATTGAAACGAGAAGTCAGGTGGAAATTTTGAGTCTTGTGGGAGGCACAACAGGTAAATCCCGCTCACAAAGAGCAGGCCGGTGAGGATATTTGCACAGTTTCTGACAAGGGTGGTCGGTTTTCTCTTCTGCCCAGCCATCAATGAATCCCGTGACGCTTCACGTAGTATATCGAGTTCCGCAAACCCGAGACCAGCAAGAAAGGCCGATAATATAGGTGAGCCGAACCACATGAATGCGGCGCTCAGGCAGATGATTGCCACCAGCCGTAACATAGGTCTGACGGATGCAAGGCCGAGTAGGACCAGATAAACCGCCAGTGAGCATTGGTACTCGTATGAGATTGTCCACAAGTGGAAATTATACCCTGTCACATAGAACGGTCCACTTAGTTGAAGAGTCGTCAGGAAGGTCATGGTAAGACAACTGAGATGAGGTTGCAGCGCTGACCAGGGCTGTGCTCCGGGACAGCCCTCCTGATCACCCGGCGTCCAGTCAATCAGACCCATGTAATAAGCCAAATGGGAGATGAGGCAAAGGATCAAAACGGGAATGTAAAGTCGGAAACCACGGCGAAAGACGGAAGATGTAAGTTTTCGATAGAACTGAGCCGGGGCATCATCACGGAGACGTATGATGGAGGTCGACACGGCATAGCCTGAGATGACAAAGAAGAGAAGAACCATTGACTGCCCGGCAAACAGTAAGCGGAACGGCGGTAACTGGAAGAAGCGGTGATTTTCAGCGGCGGGGACAGCCCAGAATGATCGATAGGGAGCTCTCATTTCTCCCACCGTGAAGTGGAACCAGGCGACAATAGCCGCAGCCATGCCTCGCAGGCCATCCAGCCAATTTTGTCGAGCTTTGGCCGAAGCTGCTGATGTCATATTGAGTATATGACGGGTATTGGGGAACGTACTTAGAGTAAGGGGGATCAGGTGTGCTGTAATACTTTGGTCGAGTGGGGGGTTTAAGAAGCATGGCCGAGGTGCAGCCCCGACAACTCGGACTCCTGCCACGGCCGATCTTGCATTGAGTCGGCAAACAGATCCTACCTATTAAGTAACAAAGCAGTGTGGTACCTAGCATATCCCGACATTGGATCACAAGGTTGGTGACATTCTTCGTGATAGGACGGGTATGTGAAGATCCCGGAGATGATGCTCCGTAGTCCGACGGGGAGCCATCCGATACCAAATCCCGAAGCCACTAAACCCAGGCTGCATCATTCGTGGCGACCAGGATGATCTATCTGCTAGTGAGATAAGCACTAACCTATCAGCAGGGTCTGAATACGAGGTAAATAGTAGAAACCCCGCAGCTTATGCAGATCACAGATCTATCATCTTCCTCGTCGTATATCGGTGTCCTCGGCACATCGTCAACGGGTTCTTGCGTAGCCAACCAGATTGCTCAAGATGCCTCCGTCCATGTTGCTAGGGTCACTTCGGACAGAAGTGATTCCTTTACAGGAATAGCAAATATCCAAATATATTATTACATTAACGTGGAAATAGGCAATGAGCCATATTGGAACCCGAAGGAGTTAGACAAGATGGAAAGACGTACCTGCCGCATTCATTGCTGGTTTGGGCGTAGTTTCCGAGATAGATGATGCCCTTACCCAATCCCAATGAATAATTGTTGTTGGCTCAGAATCACGGTTGGCGACTGAAATGCCGGAGGAGGTCAAAACTCGTAAACCCATATACAGATCAGATGTGGAAAATCGTAGCTTCCACCGAGTTGGATGAGTATGATTCCCTTGGCCTTGACAACTCATTCCCTAACGCTTATGTGATAACCAGTGTACAGGTACTGAAACACAGGATGCAAGTTTGCTACCTGCGGCCGCCTGAAGACCGCGTAGATTGTCCCAGCATGGGCCGATCGTTCACACGGCAAGTTCCATCACCGCCATATGCAGGGACTGCGCAACAAAACATCACCATCCTGCCAACATGAGAGGATGGTAGGATGCATTGGCATCAGCACTAAGTTGACACGCCATGAGCCGTCCAAGACTGAGTGCTGAGGATCATGACTGTTCTAGACATTGTTGTTAGCATTGCCACCTGGACCATGGCCAGGCAGTGACTCAAATCACATATATTGCAACCAAGAGGGTAGGACAAGTTTTTCATTACGCTTGAGAGAATACTTTTTCTTTGGCGCTTTTTCGGTCTCACAGCCTGAACCGTTTTGTGCTATTAAGAGACTTACAATTTGCCATCATGTATTACCTACCCAAGCCGTTGAAGCCACACAGTGGCATGGGCTCCAGTCAGCGGTTGGTGCCCCTGGTCGAACGAGCTCTCAACTTCATTGGTTGTATTGTTGCGGCCGCGGTATACTTCTATGGCTTGATGTATCTTAAGCAACCCTTGACCTTTGACATGATAGTCAGTATAGTTCTGGCCGAGTATTGTCGATGGAGAAACAACAAGAGACGCAGAGATGCAGCTCTGCAGGAAGAGAACGGTAGCCTTGGCCTTGCTGAGAAGGGCAAGTCAAGCGAGCAGAGGTTGGACTGCGTTGCTGCTATTGTTGGGTATAGGGAGGAGCCTACCCTGTGGAAACAGGCATTGGGGAGCTATTCGCATGCCCAAAATTGCAGGTTCCTTCTTGTATGTATCGACGGGGATGCAGAAGAGGATCGGGAGATGGTTGAAGTCTATCAAGATGTAGGTGATCATCCTCTGTCTCTGTGGTAGTTTATTAACATTCCTTGGCCAGGTTTACACGGAAAAGTCTGCATTGATGCACCTAGATATCCCTTTAGCAGAGATTGCCATGCAGATGGATCGAGCAAGATCCTCCAAGACAACGGATGCTGAGATTATCGCTCAATGCTGTTCCGTCGCCAGAGCAGCTCTCGAGAAGAGTGGTATCACTCTGGTCGGCGAGAAGGGGATTTCTAAACTGTGTGTTAGTCAGCCGCACATGCACAAGAAGGGAATCATGTTCACCTCCTTCATAATCTCCTTGGTGGTCTCAGATATCCTCGACATCGAATTCTTGTGGACATCGGATTCAGACTCAATTGTGATGCCCGATACATTAACGCGTACGATGGCAACATGTGCTGCAGATCCGGGAATTGGGGGTGCTAGCACGGCACTCACTATCCACAACAAAGATGAAACAGTTATCACACAGCTTGGAAATGCGGTTTACCTGAATGAATTGTATCTGGCACGTTCCTTTACTGGCGCGGTTGCTGCAAATGACTGCCAAAGTGGACCGTCTGCTGCTTTTCGCTTTTCTGCAGTCAGTGGAGAGTTGCTGGCATGGTACAAGCAAAGTGTGTTCGGGCATTGGATGGTGAGTATTCCACGCCATGATATCAGCATAGACTGACCGTGCAGGTTGTGAACGAGGATCGACATTTGACCACACGTCTCCTTCTAAAAGGTTGGAAAGTGGTTTTCGCATCCGATGTTATGACTGCCACTGAGTCACCCACAACATTCAGGAGGTGGCTATTGCAGCAGGTATGTGTCTAAACAAATGTGCCCCGGCCAGATGATAAGGCATCATTCTAATATGCTCAGGTTCGCTGGGGCCGAGCGGTGCACGTCGAAAGTTTCCACAGACCGAGCGTGTACCTGATGCACTCTCCGATATTGTTCTTCGGCGCCCTGCGGCGACAGTTTGCCGCCTTTGTCGTGCCCCTGACTGTTGTCCTGTACCTCTGTTCTGGGATGCTCCTAATTCGAGCCTTCTCATTCCAGGATTACACCCATCGCCTGGGGCTGACAATCTCCTACCTTGTGTTTCGTAATCCCTACCGACCAACTATGAAGGAGTGGATGTGGAGTCTTCCCGCACATCTGTTCTATCATGTGCCGTTGCCCGCCATTCAGGTATGGAGCTTTCTTACAGTGCTCCACGATTCATGGGGAACGACCATGAGAGCCAACAAGGAGGTGAGGCATTCCAAGCTGCGTCTTAAGATTTGGGAAGTCGGATTCTTTGTCTTTTGGATGGCCATCCTGGGCGGCGCCTCGGGGAGGTATGTTGCAACGTCGCTGATGCCAGGTTCGGCTGACGTGGTGGCATTTATTCTCGCGGGGGTTGTGTCCGTGTTGATTGTGGGTGGGTGGTGGACGGTTGTCGCGAAGTGAGCCGAGCTGTTGGTTTTGCTGCATGAACGGGGTGGCCATGAAGGCTTCCCTGGGCCGACATACCACGAGTGTATATATGCTTGAGTATGATGTCCTTGACAAGTAGAAGTCTTAAGCAATATTGAAGAAAACATTCGCCAAGGAATGACAGACATGCCAAGCCAATGCAAGGTTGAAGGTGTGATGGCAACGGAGTAGAGTGTTGAAAAAACGCGATGCTGGGGAACATTGAATGTCTCCCAGTCACCTGATCAGCCTACTATACGAACAATACCATCGTTTCTCACCAGTATTGTGCCCTTCATGAGACTAGTTAGACTTGTACGTAATTCACCCACGTCTTGGCATTTAAATATGCATTCGCTCTTGAAGAATTCTGTAATGATTCGAGGTATATATTTCGCGATCGACCTAACAATGGCTAAACATAACATCTACTTCCTGTTCGCCAAAAGCTTCTTCTTCGTCCTGTCAGCACACGCCTTAGCATCAAAGATACCATTGACGCTAGGATGCTCCCGAGTAGCCTGCGCCCAACGGTTGAAGTTCTTCGCCTCTGCCAATCCCTCCCAGATGGCGGGATCAATCAGTCCAGCCTCCTTATCCGCGAACGCGTGCAGACGGATTAGGAACGATCCAAGCAGCACCTCCACCAAAGTCAATTTGTCACTACCACCGAAGAAAGGTCCGTGCTCCTTTCCCTCCAAGCCCTGGTACAGGAGCGGCTCGATCTCCTTCTTGATAGCAGCTACGTAGCCCTCAACGCCGGCCTTCCGGTCGGCTTCGGTAGCACCGCGCAGGGCGGCGTTGTAGTGTGGAGCAGCTTTGCTTGAGTAGGTGTCGACGAAGAAGGCGATGCGGGCGCGCTGCAGAGCACCCTCGGGGGTGTTTGAAGGGGGCACGAGGTGGGAGGGGTATGCGTCGGCGAGGAATTGAGCGACGATGCCGGATTCGGTGATAACTTCACCATTGTAAGAGAGGGAGGGAACGAGACCGCGCTTTTATGGAGAACATGAGTTAGCTTATATTGGTGGGAGGTGGATATGAAGGTCGGACATACCGGGTTGACCTCCAGATACCATGGCTCGCGTGGGGTGTCCAAGTCAATGGTGACCTCTTCGAAGGGAAGACCAAGCTCCTGCAGAACAATGTGGGCGCGATGAGCCCAGGGGCAGGTGCGATTGGTGTAGAGGGTGATCTTGGGGGAAGACATGATGAAAATGTGTATCGATTAAGGGAGTTAACAGCTGTCAAGTGGTGAAGATGAGAGGCGGGACAGGCGGGTATAAAAAGGCCGGCAGAAGCGGGGCATCGGTAGATGGAACCGGCGGGGAGGAAAACGTGGGAGGAAGAAAGCTTACACGTCCGACGGGATTATTAATGGCCTGCCCGCCGGGTGATTTCCCACCAGGATGGCATCACTTCGGGCCTATCAATTATTCACCGAGACCCTACGTCGCTACTCACGCAGAAAGTCCAAGAAATTCGTCATCAAAGACGTTATATTGCACAATCGGGGTATAACCTATCTATACTATACTTTTGACAGTTATATATATGATAACAAGATATATTGCATGCGGGGTATATAATTTGCTCGTGGCCGCGTTATATGTAATGGAAAATTCTCGTAATATAATGTTGATGCTAAACAGGGAACGGCTGCGACTCGCGGCGAAGGCGACTGGCCCGACGACCAGCATGTTTCTCGCGATCGGCGGCTAGTGTCTGGGCAAACTTGCTGCGACGACGAATTTCGGGGCCCTTCCAATAGAAGATGTAGATCGGAATGGCCACCAACGCGGCAATGCACCCCAGCAGGGTACTGCCCCAGGCCAGGTGAAACTTGCCGCCAATGTTCTCATACAGAGGAGTCGCATACATGGTCGCAATACCAGCTAGGAAGTCACGAGCAAACCCGTTACCGCCGGTCGCAGACGCAGAATAGGCACCGTACGCAGCGACCATGTAATCAATCGTAGCCATGTAGATGGAGTAGTTGGCGATGGCAATCAGACAGGCGAAGATGAGGGGAGCAATCCAAGGAGCATAGGCAGGGCCGATAGACGTCCATGCAAAACCCAGCAGGCCAATGGGCTCGAGGGGAGCTAGGAACAAGAGTAGAAGAAGACGGCGCTCAGCAAGACGGGCAGCATTGCCTTCCTTCTTGCGGATCTGTCGTTGCCGCCAGACATCCGGCAGGAAAATAAGGTATGCGATGACATAGCCGATGAGAATGGCACAGAAAGCTAGGCCATTGGTGAGGGTGTTGAAGCCCCACTGATCGAAAACAAGCGTGAAGGATTCGGTGAAGGTGAAAATCAGAGCATCGGAGAAACCAGATAGGAGTGACAAACAAAGGACAATGGGCTCGCGAATGAACATCTCAAACGGACGTCTCCAGATCCTCAACACCTCTTTGACACTCAGGCGGCTTTCCTTCAATTCGTTAGGGCCGTAGATGTTGGGATCTTCCCCAGACTTGCGGCGGCGCTTCGCTTCGCGATCCAAGAGGATGGTCGCCCTAGTTTCAGGAACCAACACAAAGTGCAGAGCTTGAGTGAATCCCCCGACGATCAACTGCACCCAGAATACCCATGGCCACGTGAGGTACTGCCCAATAAATCCACCAAAGACGGGTCCAATCGTAGACCCGCCCACTGAAGAAAGCACGACGTATGCAACCGCGAACCCCTGGTCATCAACTTCCCACATATCTGCAGTCATACCCAGGGTGACGGAACCGCCAGCAGAGCTCAGACCACCCAGGAAACGGCAAACCACGATGGTACCAAAATTAGGCGCCAAGGCGCAAGGGATTTGCCAAATATTGACTAAGAATAAACTGAGCTGCATGATCGGCCAGCGCCCGAATTCTTCACTCCAGGGCGCCCACAACTCACAACCGAAGGCGTATGCAACCAGGAAGATCATCTGCCCGACACGGGCCGCTTGAGCGCTAACATTGAACTCATTCTCAATGCCCGTGAGAGCATCCGAGTAAACGCCCGTGTTGAAGTTCATGGACATTTGAACCATGAAGACCACAGTTAGGATGGTCCATTTCTTGTACCAAGGGAAGCAAAAGCCAAGTTTGTCGTAACAATCGTCCTCGGTTAGCTCCCGCTTGCCGTCAGATCGCTCTTTCTTGGACAGATCAGTATCGCTTCCAGATGTTGGCTGCGAGGCATGCTCAGCCTGTTGGGCGAAGGGATCGTCCGATTCCGATCGGCGGGTCAGGTTTCTGAGAGCATCGTCTGTCTTGCCAGACTTCTTCTCGTCATACAGAATCTGATCGGCAGGGGCACCGTTCTGCGGCGTGGGCTCAGTGGCCGTCATGATGATGGAGTAGAAGGCGCACCCTAGGACAGTATGAGAAACCTTGTCATGCGGGGTGGAGAAGGTAGAAATAAAGATAGTAGAAAAGACCAATCAGTTTCTCGGGAAGGTGAGAGGGAGAGGAGGTTGATTGGACTGAGGATGATGCTGGAGTGACGATTGATTGCCAGATGGGATGTGAGGGATCTTTATAGATCGTTGATCTCTTGTGGAAGGTATTTCGCCTGCACCCCGGTACATTATTCTTCCTCCGGGGCACCTGGTACCCTGAAGTGCGGAGCGGATCTCTGCCATCAGTGGCATGACGTGAGGGCTTACCCATGGGAGTCTCATTAGCAAATGGCAAAGGATGGGTATCCCAAAGGGGCAATCCGAGAAGCCGTTCGCTAAAGAAGCCTGATAACGATGGCAGTCGGGGCTCGGCGGAAGAGATCTTCTCCCCTCGCCTGGCGTCATAGTTCCGGCCCGTCAGACGAGGAGCTGGGGTCCCCAATCAGAGGCGGGGACTCCTAAATTGTTCAGCTCGGACCATCATACTAAGTACAAGAGTACTCTGTATTAACCACATAAAATCCCGTACAATTGGCCACGGCGGCGAGAGGATATGCATCTAAATCGGAGGTGTTGGGGTTGTTGTGATTGTGTGAAAGTACTGATTGCGTGGCGACCACTAGGGTCGGTTTCCTTCGAGGCGGGAAAAGGTCGGAAAGACACATACCACACGGCCGAGGTGCAGCCCGATGCCAGGTTCAAGGTACAGGACAGGATTTTCCGAATGGCTCAGAAAGTGGCCATGCAGGCGGTTTCCCTGGACTTCGCGACAGGCTGTGGAGTGGACACGGTTCCGTTGTAGTTACAAGATGGAAAAGCAATGCACGGTCACCTGCTCAGGCTAACCCGATCGGCACGACATCTTGTCGGCCGGGGCCGGCGGTGAGCCATGACGTCAGGGCTTCACCCACGAGAAGACCAATGATATCGCAGTATGTTTCTGGCAACCCTCCCAATCAGGTCTAGTCAGGCGGCCAACTGGTTTCTGCCTGCATTCTGCCGCCCTTCTCCGGCCGGATCCTACAGTCCAAAGTATACTAGTAGTCTGCTACTAACACTAACAGTAGACTCAGTAGTCCACCTCCTTCTCCTTCACCCTCCATTTCCCCAGTCCCTTCTCCGCGTCCCTCCACGGCAATTCCAAAATGTCCTTCTCCTCCACCATGACGCAGGGCTCAGCTCGCGTGTCAACTGACAACGTCACTTTGCGCTTCGATATCTTTCCCCAACGTCATGGTCCGTTTAGTCGCTACCAGATGCTCTCCCTCATGATATTGGGGATGATATCGGGTCGATCCTTGCAATCAGGTGTCCAGCCTCTTGGCTGCGAAGCTAATCCGTACACGACCAACCTCTATCGGCTTGGAACCATGCAGCTATTCCGTCTCTCTTGTGCCGCCTGGCATCGCATCCCGGCCTCCCGATGCAACCCGACGCCACACCTAATGTCGACCCGAGGAACGACATCGCGTCTAGGGGAAGAAGTATGATACGGCTCAACAAGGTTCACGCACATTATGGTCTGGATAATTTCCATAGCCGCCAATTCTCCCCTCCGGTCAGATGGACAATATTCCTCTATCAACGCCTTCGAGACCATAGATGAGTAGATCAATCATCCCACGCAGTCTCATTCGCAGATAAGTCGAGACTCAAGTGGGAGGAACAACATTTCCGTAGCCATGTTTCCTTTTGGTGCTCCGCGTTTCTCGCCCCCGCTCCCTCCATCGCACTAAATCGGTGGATCGCAACAAAGTATTTCATCGGCGATTCTCATTGAGTGAGTTGCGACCCACAGTGCATCATCCCCTTCCCATCCACGCAGACAGCCATCCAAACCGGTTCCGCCTGCAGCGTTGATTATCATATGATATTCAAATCCATTGCGCTATTTGTCGCATTCGATTCTAGTAACATATGCTGTCCATATGCATGCCGGTCCCTCGGCTTCAAGAAACTCAGAACACACGCCTTCGTCTCGGCTCTGCGGCAGGATTCACTATCCTACGACTGGGGTGGTGTCGGAACCCGAGCAGCCTACTGGTAGGAATTCGCGCAGCACAAGGCTCGGAGCGATCTGCACCGTCGCAGTCACGCATCCTGCGCGCTTCGTAGTAGCCTCAGCTGGTTTTCAGGATCTTGACATCGTATCTGTTGTCGCGCTCAGTGCACACAGTATGCTTCACGGTGAACACAATCGTTTATTAATTCAATTGTGATAGAAATTCTTATTTGCTGAATGGACACAATACACGCAGATCTGATATAATAGGGTATACGTCCGAGCCTGCCCTGTACAATAACGCCACTTCTTACTCCTAATCGCACAGAGTAACTTCCTCGGTTGGGCCACTAACAGCATGATTCGAACAGGAAGGTCGGGGCAGTAAGACAGTTCCGCTAGCCAACTAAAGATCCTGCTTTGGACGCTAATCCCCACTTGTGTAACCAAGAACTGTCTACCCTACACTACATACCTCAGGATACATGCACCTTGCTTTCACTGACACAGATCATGGCAGTACCTGCCGTGCGCCCGATGTCCATTAATCCCAAATTGTGCTAATGCAGCATCAAGCATCGCCCAAGGCAAGCCATAAGATTATAGCGTGTCGCCAAGCCCCATTGGACAGGGGGCCCTGGTCATGGCCGACGCGTCGGACGTAGGCCATCATTGCCGCTTCCGGGATAGTCGGGCGACTCCGACGGTGCTGCCGACCCAGCAACACAGTTCAAAGTTACACAAAGATTGTACTGAAGCCCAAGATGTAGAATCATCTTGGGCAGGCATGTAGACCGCCATAGAAAATACAACGCATTCCTGGTGTTGGTGAAGAACACTATGGCTGGTTTTGCAGTGAATGTAGAACAGCCACGATTGATCGAGCAGGTCGGGAGAATCCGCTGCTGTAGAATGGAAGGATTTTCACCTCAATCTCGCAAGTCCATAGAAACACATCGAAACTCATACTATCCGTGTGCCTATCGGAATCCCAGCTAGCGTGGACTTCGATTACATTCCGGGGAATGGAGCACAGTAGTAAACCCACATGTCCGGTCTGTCTTGTTTTCCGATAACGTGGTGAAAATAATTCTCTGGTCCTATCATTTCCTAGTTTTCGTTCTCTATAGCCGTTCCTGGTTGATAACACACGGAAATTATCTCCAATATACATCGCACGCCATCTTGACATCCAGCCATAACCGGTTCTGTAGCTTGAGTATCCGGGCTTCTAGGTGGTTCCTTGCTTTATCACTAACAGGAGGGATATTTCTAGTGGAGGTCATGAGCCACTGGGCTATCGTGTCACTCCTTAGTGCCACATTAGCGTAGCATGTAGCAATCCGGGTTCGGACGGAGTAGTCTCTTCCATGCTTTCACAATTTGCCGACTTGGCCTAGTTGTTTACATTTGGTTGAGTATAAATCCCTTCCAACAGAAGGGTGGTAATTAATCGGTAGAAAGCTTAATTTTGCTTATAGTGAACTATATGAAAATGTTTGTGACAAACGTTGGACAGGCAATAGCTGGCCATCTCTTATCACTGTAGATGGCACTTTTGGTAGGGTAGATGTAAGTGGTATTCTTCTCATGGCATTTTCGCTTAGCAACCACCTCAGTCATGCTATATCTCCTCCACGGTGTGAATAGAGTTCCCAAATTCCCCTTTACACCAAGGTAATGGTAGTTGTATCAATTCCATCCCAGAACTTCGGGCCTTGCAAGTCGCGGGGTCCACAGAGGAAAATTCCTGCTCTCCGATAACTGCCAGATGTCTCTGTCGGTAGCACAAGTAAGCCCAAAAAGCGCCATGAACCATCAAAATCATGAAATCCGGGATCCCTAGGTTCGCAATCACAGCTAGAGATCAGAACCATGGACAGCTGGGTAGTTTCCTTCCTTCTTTCGAGGATGTCATCGTCATTAATTGCAAGGTCTGTCCAGTCGAAGCGAAGATGGGCAAGGTACTCTCCATCGGCTGATGTAAGCTCATAAGAAAAGTCGACATTATTGCCGAGGCTTGCGTTTCGACGGCGATATATCATTGTTGATGAGAGGATCGGGATTACTTTCGTCTGTAGAGAGATAAACCCGCTTAGAACTTTTCCATATCGATCCAGGCCCGTTGTCGTATTCATCGATGCGACTTTAAATTCAGGTTTGAGGCGGTAATGTCGAGGCCAGCTAACTGGATTGAATTGGGATACCCAGCTCCAAGTGGGGGCCAAATACTCTTTCGGAGGTGTCAAGAAGGACTTTAGTGTTGTCAAACCGTGGGGGGCCCAGAGAAGATCAGTCTCAAGCTCGTCACTCCAAATGCCGGCCAGATATTTGCTATCGGTGTGTGACGAAAAATATCGAGCCAATGCAGATATTGCTGGCAATCTATCATGCGAGTAAGAGAGATGGCGAGCGGAATATCCTTGGATCATATTGCGCCATCCAGATGGAGATAGGATTATTTTTCGGGACATATTATCACAGTCGAGATTCTGGCCCCATGGCTGAGAAATTTCATCGAATGACATATCCTGTGACCGCCGAGCTGGCACAACAAGCATATGCATCATTCGTGTGCCAAAAAAAAGTAGGCGAGGGCTACACAATGCTTCCTGAAGCGTCCAGCCACGAGTGTTCCATTGACTTTCCTTCAGATCGCAGTCAAGGGGAGATTTTTTAGAATGTGCAAGATCGAGATATTCTAACGAATCCGGGTGTTGAGAATGGCTCTCAAAGAGAGACTTGTCGTATTCTTCATCGTAGTACCCCGTGACGTGGTATATGTAGTAAAAGCCGGATATCGATGGGTTTAAAGTTGACTGAAAAGGGACTTTAATAAGATGTCGCTGTGGCTGAGTGAGAAAGCCGCTCTGGCATGAATTCCCCTGTAAGGCACACAGGGTAAAATACGAGTACATATATATTTCTGCCATCTTGGCTGATTCTCTTTCCCAGTCAGTGTGACTGTCCTGAATAATGCACAGTGCGTCCACCCAGAGATAGCGCACGCGCATTGCCCGGCAAACGAGAACCGCATCGCAGACAGTTTTCGGCAGAGATTCCATTTTAATCTCTTTCATGTTCTCGCATAATGACGCCTTGGTTGTCTTGAGCTGCTTTGCTGCATCATCTTCACAGCCCCAGCAATAGCTGAGAGCAAGGTATTTACCTCTACTTGCCCGTTTGTGGGACCCTTGATTGACTACCAGGCGCATCTTTGAATGAGTTAGCCAATGGCCAACATCTATCACGCGAGTAGGAAGGTGTGGGTCTTTGAATAATTTGTATGACCGTTTTGCCATCTTGCGTAAGCGGGACCGGCTTTTATAAGAAAGAGGATGGGATACGGGCGCTCTTTGAATGCGAAGCCAGCTTCTGCTTGGATCTATCAGTGGGTCAGATGCGTATCGTCATAAGCCGATACTTGTTGGAGTGCGTACCACCTATCTCAGCCTGCACATCGAAGCTGACTGTACATGAAAGGTCGCTAGTTTGATCTCCGATCAATTTGAAATGGACGGCAAGATGTGATAATGTAGAAAAGCAATCAAGAGACATCGCCTCACGAATAGTGTAACGAAAGCAAAGCTTGTAAATCAACACACTCTTGTGCTTGGGATCTTCCCCGTGTTCGAGTTGGAGTATTTTCTCACGCATTGCAAAGCACATGCCACATCCGGATGCACTAGATGCTGACAAGACAGGAAGTTCCGGCAATTTGTCAAGGAGATGATAATTCAGGAGAATGGCTTGCGGTCGAAAATCATCAGCATCCGTACACTGAGGCATAGCACCTTCCGGGTCAAACTTGTGAAAAATAACCTCGGGCTCGCCCCTTTTGTAATCTACCACGGTCCCGTGTTCGTGATCACTAAATTGAAGGACTCTGCACCGCTCGCACAGTGAAGTAGAAATCGACATGGCTGGACGTAGCGAAGAAAAGGGAATATGTGTTCACGTTCAATAGCAGCGTTCTCGGGTATCTGTTTGAAACGGAGGGGCAAGGTGACAGCTCACATTCCGCAGCCTAACTAATTAGCTGCATTAACTTAGTAATCATGTTAATTTAACTTGGACTGAATACTACTAGTGGCTAATAGAGATCAATGTCCCAAAGCGTGTTATAGGGTGCCAATGAGAATAACATACTAGGGTTATATTCCTGGATGTTTTCTGAATCGACATCCCGCTCAAAATCGATACATCCCTCTCTAATACGTCCCATCCCCTTGTGAGGCTCTTCCCCCTTCTTCGCTGCCATCGTGTGAGTATATTCTGTCCTTGATTCTCGAAAGGCCATCTCTATCGCCTTTCATTGTCTCCATGTGCTCCTTTGCCACCCATCCTGGCGTGTAACCACCACCGAAATCGATCACCCACGCATCCTCGTTCCGATCTACCAACACATTGTCCGGCTTTACATCTCCCCAGATAATGTCAGCCTCGTGCAGCAATTCCACAGTGGTAGTAACTTGCTCCTCCCATTTCCTCCGCTGCGCGAATGTGACTTCACCATGTAGTGCACATGAAAGGGTAAGATTGTCGCAGTCTACCAACGATATCAAAATGCCGATAACATGACGGCAGTCCTGAGCAGCATATACCACGCCGATAAATTGGGGTACACGTACTTTCGCATTATTGCTCAGGCCTTTCGTTTCCATTTTCTTGTAAGTATCCAACTCACGAAGAAGCCCTCGTTTCGTGTAGTTGTCTTTCAAGAAACACAGCTTTCCATCGACACAAACCTTCCTTGCGTAGTTGGAATAACCATATTCCCCCTCGTTGAGGCACTGCTGTACCATTTCTGGTGTGAAACTACCCCAGCTGGGATGAAGAGCGAAGTCGCCTATGTCAACACCCGGTTCGTGCAGCGTCCTTCGAGCATTATAATCGCATCGGGGTTCCATTATTTCATCGACAAAGTGAAGCTGAAAGTAATATGTTTCTGGATTGAGGTAATCACGAAGCGTGAAAGCTCGTCCATCCAATGGCGGGGCTTCAACTTCAGTAAGAATAGGAAGGAATGGTGGTACAATCCAGTCATAGAATTCATCGTATGTGGTTTCCCAGTCATGGCCAAATATATCGTTGATAAATCGCGCGTACTTGGTGAAAGATAACTCTGAGTTGATGAAATTTTTAGGGCATATTTCTACCCGAAAACGCTTGCCTTTGCACCCAATGTCGATCCGTGGCCACAAGTCATGTCTGCCATAAAGGATGTCCTGGACTTTCCAGATGGGACTTGGGGCTGTCATTTTGGGTCCTATATGCTGACCGCGATATTTTGGTGCAAAGAGTGATTGGTAAGTAGGAGCGTAGGTTTGAAAGCGTGTAGGTTGTCGAATGGCGACCAGGGAAGTCAATGTGTTCACTTTCGGTGGCTTATACAATATAGCAAGCACAACCACTTGTTCAAACAAGAGAGGGTTGTTGTAGACTTATTTATAGTCCTACTTCTACACACCTCTGACTCCTTATGTTTGGTGAAATGATGAAGACCACACCATGGGATAGCAGCGGCCAGAACTCTTGGATAAGATTATAACTGTAACTCTTACGGCAAAAATCCTCTCATGATCGGCAGCCACCCTGTTCTGATCAAAATCCTGTTTCGGGATATTCCGACAATAATGCAAGAGAGACGATTAGTCTCCTCACACAAGCGCTTTATAAATGTTTATCCTGCCTGGTTAATTAAAGTACCAACAGCAAACCACTCACATCGAAATTACTAGCGCAGGTCCAGATTCGGCAAATCCCGTCCACAGCTAATACTATTCGCAAAAAGCCAAGTACAATGTGTTACTCATCCATCAGATTCTACCGTTGTGGCCATGTCTGGCAATCCATCACCAACTACTGCCCAAAAGCACGACCAGTGCAAGGCAGCAGACGATGTGCACCGTGCTCTGAGCACAGCACGCGCCATTTTACCACCATTGGAGCACTCTGTACTCGAGAGGATTGTGTGACAAAGGACATGTGTGATAGGGGGTGGACCTGCTGTAAATGTGGACAGGACAACATCGTGCGTCACTATGTGTGCAGTGGCCCACCCTCCGCAGTAGGTGAAAGCGTTGGCGGAAGGAATCGCTGCATTCATGTTGTGTGCTTGGAATGCCGATATACATCCACTCCTCCGGAGGATACATACCCGATTCCCACGGATCATTGAACGCGATACTGGCATGTCGTTGGATCAATACATACCTCCTCAATGAGGATCAGCATGGGTGGTAGATAGTGTATTGCTCCGATTTAGCGGCGTCGCTAATCACAGGTTGCTGTTGATGGATCGCTACACTGCGTCTTTCTTGTTCTGATCAGCTACTAGTGTTAGGTTTGAATGTACGGTTCTAGCCGTGAATGGCACTGCTAGAATCCGGCAATGAATGAATAGAAAAGAGAAACATCCATCCCTCACACATTTTCATCACTCCCATACGGTAGTTCCCGTGGTGTAACGTTAAATAGATCTGCAGTAAGCTTGATTAGTGTGGCTGGCTGCTTTCTGACCGAAAATACCACCAATTTCCCGCACTTCTGAGTTATCATGAACAAGGAAATCCGTAGCGGCACAATGGTGGCTCGGAGAATGCCTCACAACGCACTATATAAATGGTCTGAAATACTATTCTATCAAGAAAGACAATATAGTACATACACTATGTACAAACACACCCTACACACACCCCCATCCTCCCTTCAACATCACCGACCACATCCAATCCCTAAGAAATAACAGTAACATTATCACCCAAGTTCCTGCAGTTTTTGGGCAGAGTAATAACAGCACCCTCACCCCTAGCTACATCAGAGTGATTATAAGTCGGGTTGAACGCCATGATCTGGCCCACAGTGGAGCCAAACTTGTCTGCAAGATCTTTGTAGGTGCCATAAATAAGTTGGTACGGCTCGACCTCACACACACTAGGACTGCACTGAGGGACCTTCAGCTCATTGTTCACCTGCACGAGTGCATCAGGATCACTGACTCCACCCTGAGCAGTTGCAGAGAGGGCGTCGACGGTGATGTTTAGTCTCAGGGCGATAGTGCGGATAGTGTCACCCTTCACGGTGTAGTAGGTATGAGGGCCACCGGAAATGCAGTCGGCGTAGTTGTCGTTGTGGCTAGGAAAGAGCAGACATGTGGAGTTGTCGGGGGTGCATGTCTCCGGGGGGATGAGCAGATGTTCTCCTGTCAAGAAGGGGATCATGGCATCGGCCATGCGGTTGAGTCGGGCAATATCGCAGATTCCGCGGTTTACCGAGTTGGAGACGCTGGCCATGGTGTCGCCTTCTTGGACGGTATAGAGACCGACGGTGCTGTTTAGGTGCGAGCGGTTGCAGGTAGGCGCGGCCGTGGCTGCTGACGCCAGGAAAGGCAGTGCTGCGAGAGATAGGAAGTGCATGGTAGAAGAATTGAAGTCAAATGAATGGAATTTTCAAAGAGCGACAAGGTTTGTAATTAAGGGAGTGACTTTTTTTTTTGCTGTATGATGAGCGGAGTGTAGTTGATAGCATTTATCGGCGAGGGCGCTCTCATTTTATGTTCATACAGAGACTGCGTCCCTTCCATGGTCGGGTCGTTAGGGATGATGCGTCCATTGTCGCAATTAAATATTCGATGGAGGGAGTGCTGGCGATCTTTCTCAAACGCGTAAGCTTAAAGTATATTGCAGACTCGGAGATAATGGCTTCCCGCGGGGACGGGGCCGCAACGGCGAAGATCTTATCCCATCCGCCTACCCTCACAGTCGCCATCTGGGGCTGGGACCCTATATTTGCAAATCCCGGTGTTCATACTGGATGAACTGCATGATGGGGCTGTGCTGTGAAACAAAGTAGATCTGGACAAGTGCTTGCAGCATGTTGAAAAAGCTATGCTAGGGTAGTGGAAACTGATAGCTATCAATCCCCGGCAGTCGCGGGCAAGCTACTGCAGATTGTACCTGAAAAGGGAAAAAGGTATAAGGAGCAATATAGATTGTGGGACTACTTTCTTCTCGTTCTGAAATTTTGAGGCCTTGGAAAAGATTGACTTATCGGCCTTTTTGGTTGTTGTCCCCCTTATCAATCCGGAGACAGCCTACTTTGGTGATAAGGCAGGCGTGTGGTTTTCGGGGAGGGTGATTGCGAGCACAGAATTGAGATGACATGGTCGTCAACATTTTCTCAAAGACACGAGGATCATATCATTATGAGGTCTGGTATCAAATGCCTTTTTTTATATAAGAAGATATTCAAAATTGATGTGAGATCTCTTTAAGGACAGCTTTTTAAATCGGAAAACGAACTTTTATTGAATGACTTATTCCATGACAGCTACATCTCCGAGGTGTTTTGAAATGTTTTGAATATATTCAAGCTAGTGACAATCCGGGGCATGTGTTTTATATATTTATTCAGAACAATGAGAAGAGCCGAATTTTTAACCCCAGGTCCCAAGCTTTGCTGGTGCCTTATATGATGTCAGTAAGTATGAGAATCTTCCAAATCTTCTAAAGCTGTTTTTATATCCCTGGTCTGACATCCCTGTACTAGTAGTTCCCGAATCTGCTATGTGTGGGTGCGCGGCAGAGCCTGACTCCATCGCAGCCTCGAAGCGGCCTTGAACCAGCCATTATCACGGAAAATAGCCCTTATCATCCAAGGACAACCGTAGGAAAGTTGCATGTCTCAGAACTGGGCGTGCGTCCGTTTCGTAAGGAGATTGCCATGCAGGCCTGCAATTCATGCCGTAGACGCCAGGTAAAAAAACACCATCCGGTTCAAACTTAATGAAAGGATGTAGAGAAATGCATGTTTGCTAGACAACATCACTTATTTGCGGAAGGAAGTTGCCCCTTATCCCCTAGGTACTTCTCCCGAAGTGAATTAATGGCCAGCACACCTAGCTGCTGGACGGAACCCAAGGAGGTGATTTGCAGCACGCTGATCTCGAGCCCGAGGTTCTGCCGCCACCATCTGCGGATCTCGACACTGACTAAAGAATCAAGACCCAGGGCAGTCAACGAGGAGGTGACATCCATGTCTTCCTTACGCAGGGACATGATTGAACAAACCATATTTACAATCTCACCAGTCACAATCTCGAGGCTTGAGTCGTCGTTCAAGATGTCGGGGTTCGCAGCTACTCTGTTGAGAAATTGTTTCAGTGGACTGTCGCCCGAGACTAGGGCGGTGCTGCGAGATGTGCTAAGATTCCGGTGTACGCTCACTCGGACATCGTCCTTCGCAAGGCCATTGAGTCCCCTTGTTTTGGATATGGAGCCGACAAGGAGGTCGGCGATGCCACCGGAGCATTCGGCTCCTGCGGCCTTTGCGGCACACTGCTGACTTAAAACCACCCGGATAGATTGCAGAACCTCGCTCTCCGAGAGTAAGAGGTTCACACCCTTTAACTTCTGGAAAAGTGCGGGGTCTTCACTGACAAAGCCAACTTCACCCATGACCCCGACGTCGATCACATTTGCCGGCAGTCCCAGCGCTCGGCGATGACGCGTGAGGGCATCTTGGAATGTGCCGCCAGCAGCGTAGTTGGTCTGCCCCCAGTTCCCTTGATGGCCCACAATGGAACTGATGAGGAGGAAGAAGTCCAGGTCTATGCTGTGGTCAAAGACTGTGTGCAGATTCCACGCCCCCTGTACTTTGGGTGCGGTCGCTCCCTCCCAGTCTTCTATTGTCATGTCCACCAGAGATCGGTCCTGGTAGAAATCATTGGTTAGTGGTTATTGCCAGGGTAAACTGTGTTTCCAGAAAATCTTACCCGTAACACCATTGGCATGTGTAGCACACCAGCGATTGGTCGAGGGCTAAGGTCTACTGCTCGCCTGATGTCCTCGATGTCCGTGACAGTTCCTGTAACCAGCGTTGTATTGCCACCCAATGCTTGGAGTTCGCGGAATACCTCCTGCGTCCTGGGCTTGGTGTGCGCAGTAGGGGAAAGATAAACCAGATGCCGGGCTCCATTCTCTATCATCCACGCTGAGACAGCTCGACCTAGTCCACCAAGGCCACCGACAAGGAGGTATGACTTGTCGCTAGCAAAAAGTGGTGTAGATTCAAGAGCAATATTTGTGGGTAATTGCTCCGGGCCTTCTGGCATTTTCACTACTATCTTCCCAATGTGCTGTCCACCTTGCATGTATCTGAATGCCTTTACCACGTCAATAGCATCGAACACGTGGTTGGGGTAGATCGGCTTCAGATGACCCTGTTGGAGAAGGTCTGCGCATTGCTGTAGATACCTGTGTCATAGAATGGTCAGCAAATTGCATGATACCTGCGCGAGATATTCCCTTACCTTTGAATCACGTGGGGCTTTCTGTCGATCAACACGGATAGATCGACACCGGAGAAATTCCGGTTGTCTGCAAACTCGTTCATGCTGAGCATTCCATAGTCGAGAAAGTCACGCTTGCCTAGCTCTACCATTGTTCCGAAGCTGGCAACGCACCGCCAGGATGCGTGGAGCAACTCTCCAGACAACGAGTTCAGCACCACGTCCACTCCTCTCCCATCGGTATCGTGCCGGACCTTATCTGCGAAGCTGGAGTCTCGTGAATTGTATATTTGAGATCTGGGGATCCCGAAGTTTTCTGTAAGAAATTGGACTTTCTCTTCGCTCCCAACTGTTGCATAAACCTAAGTCCCGTCAGCTTCAAAGACCGGTTTACATGGCGCTGCTACCCCTGTATGCTTGACGAACCTCGGCGCCTGTCATTTGACTGATCTGGATAGCGGCTTGGCCAACGCCCCCACAAGCTGAATGGATGAGAATAGTCTGGGATCAGTTGTTAGTTTGAGGGAGTCAGTATAATTGACTACTTCGGGGAAAGACATACCTCTCCTGCTTGCAACTTCGCAAGCTCAATGAGCGAATGGATCGCGGTTAAAAACACGCTCGGCATGGTGGCAGCGTCTTCGAAACTAAGATTGTCCGGAATACGAACACAGAGACTCTCTGTCGTAATCACGCTGCTAGAGAAACATCCTTTTGAAGCCCCGGTCATCACTCGATCGCCTTCCTGGACGCGGGTCACACCAGGTCCGGTCCTGGTAACCGTTCCTGACCCTTCCAGTCCTAGAGCGGTCTTGGATCCACCGATGATGCCCATTGCAATAAGCACGTCCTGAAGGTAGAACATATTGTCAGAAGTTGTCAACTTTGCCCATTGGGTCGTTAACAAAACACTCGGTTGTATATTCTGCCTACCTTGAAGTTAAGTCCAACAGCCTCCAAACGAATCTCAATCTCATAATCGTCCAATTCCCTTGAGTGGGTCTGCGCCCAGGACAGCGAATTCAGCGATCCTTTTTTGTCAATACATAGCTTCCTCCCAGTGCCCTCTTCCGGATCATCCACGTGCTCGCTTGGAAAATATGGGAAATATCTAGGAACCTGTGTTGTTCCGTCGACGATCGCATATTCCGGGTCAATATCTGCGCCGTCTCGGTTTTTCTGGGCGCGGAAGTTTGCGATGATCTTCTCCAGACTCTCCGCTGCCTCTTGAGAAGAAAACTCATCAACTTCTACTGTCACAAGGTCGAGAGATAACTCGAATCGAACATTGCGCGCAACTCCCAACACTAATGAATAGCGCGGATCATTGCAGTGGATTTGGCAGTTCTTCGTTATCCAGATCATGCTCCCAAACTCGCTCGAGGTAACATAGGCAACGAAGGCGTTCCAGTCCTCGCCAGCGATTCCGTGGAAAAATGGGCCTTCTAGATCCAATAACGAAACTACAAGTTGCCCTGCTGGCATATCCTTTCCCAACTTTTGCCATGACACGCTGTAACCTTTCTTGATCAAAACTCGTTCGATATTGCCCGCTGCGGCGCTGATCTTGGATCGATATAGAAGGGTGACTGGGGTGCGTGCAGCATCCCATTCGACTGCCACCGGAGAAGAAATGATGTAGGCATTGACATGGTAGGGCTGCTCGTCATCGAAGATCGCGGAGTCGACACCCGTAAATCCGGCCTTCCGTAGTTCATCGTCCCATCTCTGGACGGGAACATAGGGCCTCGTCTGGCGTCCATCTTCGCTCCCCAACCACCATCCGGGAAGTGTACCCTGGCATATGTTATTCGTCCAATCAGTTCCAGAATGGATAAAACATTTCTTCTTAACTTACCATGATATAACCTATAAAAAGCATCTCTGGCAACGTCTGAGCTACTCTTCGAGAAGGTCGTTGGGATTTTCACGACTCACCTGTGCATAGCTCTTGTAGGAAAAGTGTACCGCCGGGAGCAAGCAGCCGTCGAACATTACGAAGCGTGGCATGAAGTGAGGGGGTTGCATGTAGGACCTGCATTGATGTCAGCCGATGAAAGAAAACTGAAAGGGAAGACATAGGTAAAGCATGGGTCTCACATTGTCAGCGATGATCAAGTCAAAGCTGTGAGGTGAAAAGCCTTGCTCCTCGATATCCTTGGTAATATCGAGAACACGGAAATCCACCTGCTCGTAATTCTGAAACTGTTCCTTTGCCGTAGCAAAGAAGCCAGGTGAAATATCTGTAAATGTATACTGTGAGTACATTCGCACCGCGTCATCAGTAACAAGCGACCTGAGGGCCCTCGCCGTCGTGCTGCCAGTGCCTGCGCCGATCTCAAGGACTTTGATTGTAGGTCTGGTATGGCCTATGGTCGCGAAGAACGAGTCCATCTGATTCTTCGCAGTGTATATGTTTGACAGCACATTATTCTTTGTCAGGAGCTCCAGCGGTTGAACTTCGCCTTTAGCCAGACCTTCAATATTCTCCAATATCGATTCGATAGCCAAGCTCAGTGGCGCTGATTGCTCATTATACAAGGCTTCCACGGATCTTGCCTTAATTAATAAACCTCGTTGTCGCGGATCCAATGTTGACCATTGAGAGGCCTCGGGGATGATATGGTCGTACTCGCCATTGGCAAGGCGGGTCGTTTCCGTCTCCAGCCAGCTTTTGTAGCGGGTGAAGTGCTCGACCTCGACGGCTGTAAATCGGAGCCTGTCGCAAGCTTCATGGACGCAAAGAACAGTAAGTTGCTCAAGCAGAACAACAGCATCTTTGCTAGACATCACCTCGAAAAGATCCTGATGCCGCACCAGATCAATGTGAGGAGCCCACCTCATCTGCGCCGCCGCAAGATCATCAACTTTCTCCTGCACGTCCAGACTACTGAATGTGCAGCCCTCCATCTGGAGAGCAGGTTGCCCATTTGAGAATGCCATTATGCGACCGTCAAGTACGTCGCCATCTGCTGCACCAACTGATACTTGAATTCGAAGAGCCTGGCTCACTGGTGCAATTTGAAGCTCGGTCATTGCCTTTGGTACCACTGGCCGCCCAATCTTCCGTGGCTTGCCACCGCACTTGGCCAAGATCATTAGCTGCAGACACTGGTCGATGATGGTGGGATGGATGTGGTAGAACGACTCGCTATGCGAAAAGTTTCCATCCGCCGTGGCTGTTGCATTACCCCCTGTCGGATCCACTGTAATGTCTTCTAGGCCCTGGAAGGTTGGGCCGTATGTCAAGCCAAGCGCGGAAAGGGCGCGGTACCAGACGGTCGGGTTGACTCTTCGAGGCAAAGCATCCATAAGACGGCTGATGGTGTTTTGTGTCCATCGACCGGCCCTGGCAAACCCAGTACAATGCTTCGTCCAGTGGTTATTGGTGAACGAGGAGATCGTGAACTCAAAAGCCGCTGAGTCTGACACGCTCGTGATCCTTCCTGGTCTGAGATTGGTTATAAGCTCCACCGGGTTCCCTGCATGAAGTAGCAAAGCATTATTCATATGCAGCCGATGAATTGTATACTCATGGATTCCAGTAACCCTTCGAACAGCTTCTCCCACCATAGCGATATATCCGGCACCTGGGAAGACAATATCACCACCAACCCGGTGGTCCTCCAACCACGGTACATCCTCCAGTTGAAGGATGTTTCTCCATGCAGGCTCCAAATCGCTGGCTTCGAGCACCGGTGACCCCAGAAGCTCATGATTGGGGAAGGTCCGGAACCTCCACCTCTTCGTGACTCTGCTTTCTTCCCAGTATGCGGTGCGTTCCTGCCACGAGTATAGGGGAAGGTCAGTGAGAACCGTCTCGTCCTCGGTCCCGTTGACAAGGCCAAGGTTGACGTCTACTCCAAGAGTAAAGATATGGCCCGCAGTAGCCATCATACTGCTAACCAAGCTCTTTCCTCTTACAAGTGTGGGAATGTACGTAACAATAGACTGGGGTCGGTTAGATGAAAAGATCTGCCGGAGGGGCCCGGCAAGTGTTGAGTGCGGCCCGATCTCGACGAAGACGGCACCTTCTTCACGTTTTAGTAAGGACTGAACCGCAGAGCAGAAGCGCACAGGAGACTCTAGGTTCCTCTGCCAGTACGCGGCGTCCAATTGAGGCAGACCTGACTGAGAATCTACGCTCACTGTGGAATATGGAAGGGGTGGATGAGTTCCAACAAGTTTCTCGAGAATGGTTCTGTATGCCTCTCCAATAGCTTTCATGTGATCTGTATACCGCTATTATCAGTATAGTTGGCAAAAATGTACAAAGTAGGTATGAAACTCACGGGAGTGATACGCAATATTGACCTGTAGACGCCTATAGAAGGCTTCCGGCCGCGCAAGATTGATCTTGTGACCCACTGCCTCTACCTTCTCCACATCGCCGGAGATGGTCACACTGTGAGGGCTATTCTCACAGGCAATGACTGCCCCCTCCACCAGGAACTCTTCAACCTCCTGTGGGCTCAGACCGATGGCAGCCATGGCCCCTTCAATCTGGAGCGAACTGGCAAATTTCCCGCGGTAGAAAGCAATTGTGATTGCTTCTTCGGCTGTCAAGCTTCCCATCGCATAAGCTGCAGCTATTTCTCCACTGGAATGGCCCACTACCGTAGCTGGCTTAATGTTCCACGCAGCCAATAGGTCCACAAGTGCGATCTGAAGTGCAGTGCACAGAGGCTGTACAAACTCTGCTTTGTTGGTCCAGAATGCGAAAGCTGCATCTGCAAGACAGTCTAAATCGATAGTATTTAGCATAGGCTTTTACAGCGAAGCAACAAGATGCATCCGTCATACCTAAGATCGTCCACGATGGAGAATCTTCTAAGACCCTCAAGGCCATATCCATTTTTTCTATGCTGCTGCGAAAGGAAGGAAAAGCCCACAGAAGCTCGGAAGCCATACCCGCCCACTGCGCACCTTGTCCGTTGAAGACAAAGGCTAGGGGTTGGTCCTTCGCAGGGGTTCTGCGCGTATCCGACACGGCAGGTTGACCATGGTCGTCACTAGTGACAAAGCCTCGACAGACCATGTGATCTCGACGTTGACCAAGTGTGTATGCGACATCAATTGTGGGCACTCGCCTGTTAGCCAGATATTCCTTCGTTGCGTGAAGCCGGTCTGCAAGTGATTCCATACTGTCGGCAGAAACAACATGAACATAAGACCGCCTTTTGCAGTCTTTATTCCTCTTCAAACCACGAACGTTGGACGGGGCTGCTTCGACAATAGTCTACAAGAATTAGAGCATTTTTCGCAAATATCTGAGCTTACTGGACGGTGTCTTACGTGTGCGTTCACGCCTCCAATACCGAAGGAGTTGACACTGACCCTTTCCATGCGGTTCACTGGCCAGGGCAGCGTCTCTGTGGGCACTTTGAGTCGGGCTTCCTCAAAGGGTACTGGAAGGCACACAGAAAACTATCAGCATTGGCCATAGACGTGACAAATGGGAATTGAAGGTTTTGTCATACTGCCTGGATTAGGTCTGGAGAAGTTAATGTTTGGCGGGATTTGTTTGTGTTCGAGAGCAAGCACAGCTTTGATTAGGCCAGTAAGTCCAGAAGCACCCTCTGAATGACCCAAATTGGGTTTCACCTAGAACGACAGGCTGTTAGTTGCAAATCTTAAGGCTGCTGACAGAGGACGAATATTACCGCTCCCATAATGATACCCTTTTCACCAAACACTTTGGCAATCCCAGCAGCCTCAGTTCGGTCTCCAACAGATGTTCCTGTACCATGAGCCTCGATATATGCTGTCTGCGAAGTGTCTGAGATTCCTGCCTGCTCATAAGTCTCTTGAATGAGTGCTGCCTGGGCTTCAGCGCTGGGTGTGGATAGCCCTGCAGTTTTTCCATCACTGTTCGTACCCGTCCCCCGGATCACTCCCCGGATTGGATCATTGTCGCGAATGGCATCCTCAAGCTTCTTTACGTAGATAGCGTTAATTGCCTCCCCGCGAGCGTATCCGTTTGCAGAAGCGTCGAACGTTTTACATTTTCCGTCTGGAGACAGTGCTCCTTCCTCGGTCATGGCAATTGTATAAGTTGGCGTAAGAAGGAGGCTAGTACCTGCCACGATCGCGGAGGAGCACTCCCCTGTTGCAATGGCACGCTGGGCCATGTCGAGACCGACAAGAGATGAGGAGCAGGCCGTTCGAACTGTGCAGCTTTTGTGGTTATATACGTCAGCAACATAGCCTCTTTGACGGACGGGCATGATGCAACTCTGCGCAACTTACCTGGGCCCCGTGAGATCGTAATGGTATGAAACTCGATTGGCAAGAGCAAAGTCACCCGTGCCGCCAACCCGACCCTGACCCAAATTCTGATAATCCTTGCGGGTCATATCTAGCCAGTCTTCCCCAAAGACCCCGACAAAACACCCAATATCCCTTCCCTGCCATGCGACCTGACCTCCGCTCTCCATACATTCCCAGACTACCTTCAATAGGAGACGTTGCTGTGGGTCCATCCTGGCCAGCTCGACAGGGGAGATGTTGAAAAACTCCGCGTCGAATTTGCTAATATCTTCATCCAGGCAATAAGCATACTTGCAACACACGGATCCCCTTTGGCCCGACTCGCTATAGAATCCATTAATGTTGTACCGATCTGGCGGCAGTTCCCTTCGAGCACACCGTTTGTTGACGAGAAGATCCCAGAATTCAGAGTCGGTTTTGACTCCACCGGGAAGCCTCAGCCCCACCCCTACAATGGCTAACGGGCAGGATGTGGCCGTTTCGGTCGATTTAAGGCTGCTCAACTTTGTCCTGAGAAATTGTAAAACCGCCAAGATGTAAGAAATGACTCTCAGAAGAAAATACATGATGCAAGGTGATGGGATCACTGGTAGAGTATTAAAGTCGCTTATGTTTCTCTTTTCAATGACACTGTACTCTTCTGTTTATATAACCATTCAAGGACTATCACCAACTACGAAAACCTAGTCTATCAGAAAATCAACTCTCTCTGGGGTTTACAGTAACAGCAACGACCACCTATGCTGGACTGTATGTGGTTGATCTTACAGCACAATGATTCACCTGTTAAAGTCACCCTTGCGGAAGAGGTCAAAGCCCGCCGATCAACTCATGGTCCAACACATCTAAATGCACATACAGCCCAGACTAACATCACAACGAAAGGCTAAAGATGAATGTAGCAACTTGTTCATTCGAGCAGAATAGCTGTTGTACAACCCCAAAAACCAGTATGTGAAGAGCCAGGAGAGGCCATGATTGTGTCCAGACTACGGCAAGGGATGCCGCTCCCCCTTCCCCACCCAGTTGCAACACCTGGTCCTATATATGTTACGCAGCCTGTTGCATGGTATAGATCGGAGCATCCTTACGAAAGACCCATGCAAGATAGTGAGGCTTCAGCTACAAGCCATGGTACGATCAGTGGGGTTATATTCTACAATTTACCCTGACCTTAAAAGGAGGAAAATGCATGCATTATGGGGTAAGCAGAAACTCGGTCCTTGTCCTGTTTTGGCATGTTTCCTTGCTGGAGCTCCTGCAGCCGCCGGATACGTGGTCACATTTGATCAACTGTACTCATGCGCGGGTGCGCGAATGCAGAAGTTGTGTAGTTCGCCAAGATGACAGGTCATATGAATTCTAACACCGGAATAATTACCTACAATATAGTCACAGTATCTGAACTGTAGTCACTGTATCAAGCGGATGATATATTCATTAATTTATGCGACCGCATCGGACGGTCTCCGTTGGCTTGGTTAGCTGTTCTCTTTTGTGGTAGCACAATCTCTGCAGTGTCTGCACTTATGTTTTGGTATGTGGCGGTGGTGTGTTCAGTTGTTGCTAAATTTCTAGTCTGCATCGTGCTTGCCCGAGAAGGTGAGTTGAGGGAGATGACCACCTCTTGACATGATAGCAGCCACTCTGTAGGCGTATAACGCCATATCCGTACTGCTTGAGTGTTAAGTTTTTCACGCCCGATTGCAGAACGTGCCACGTCGTCATATACTGCATAACATACATACATATGCATATGCGGCGCGCGGACAGACATTGTCCAGGCCGAGTTTAGGGTACTACATATTAAATCGACGTAGGGATAGGATTAGTCCTATTGAGATAAACTGCCACAATTCTCAAACTTGCTCCAGATAGAAGAGCACTTATATAATATCGACGGATGAATCTAGATTAAGGCACCACGCCTTCTCGACTGGAATAGGTTTATACAGATGGATGACACTTGGCGATAGAATAGGAGACAAGATCTGCATTTACTTCAATAGCGCCTTTAGGAGTAGAATGTGTCTCGACCAGAAGATACTGACCGAAAGCTAGTCCGTAACTTCGCTCCCCCATGCGATATTATGTGGGACTACCGGTCCGCTCTTATTGCCCGGATTCTCTGGGTCAAAGTCCAAGCGATCGGGGATTTTCAAACCAGTTGGCAAATGGTACCGAACAAACCAGACAGAGACACCATCCTTGTACAGCCATGGGTCCTCCGTTTGGCGTTGCCACGTTTCCAATCGCGACCTGAGGTCGTCAAGAACGGCTGCGTACGCTGGATCCTTCGCAAGATTGTGAACCTCTCTAGGGTCCGTCTCCAAGTCGTAAAGTTCCTCTGGGGGGCGAAAGAAGTAGTCTCTTAGCTTCCGTCCGCCGACCATGATGTTTGTGTCGCTTGAATTACGGATATCCTCCCAAGAGAGGGATCCATACAGGTCAGCTGCGAAAGGGAAATCCAACCGCCAGGCCAGATTACGGTGGTATTTGTACCGACGATCGCGAATAAAACGTGTGGGCCAGTAATTCGTTACTTCATGGAATGTGTGCGAGCCAAACGTCTGGTTGAAATCTGGCAACCCGTTGGAAGTTCCAACAATCGGTAGAAGGGATCGGCCCAGTCGCTTTTTCTCTGGATCGGTGACCTCGGGATGACCGACAAAGTCAAGAATAGTAGGAAGAATGTCAACATAGGAGATCATGTTTGGGCTAACGGCAGGAGGGGTGTTTGGTTGTCTAATAATCAAAGGAAGTCTGACACCCGCATCATAGAGTGTTGTTTTGGAGTTGATGAAAGGCGGGCCATTATCGCTGATGAAGATGACGAGGGTCGAGTCATCTAGGCCAGTCTCCTTTAGAGCATCCAGCACAAACCCGACACCTTGATCAAGACGATGAATTGATTTGTAGTATTCGACCAGTTCAGAGCGAGTACCGGGGGTATCATTGACGAATGAGGGAATCGGAACATCTTCTGGTTCGAGATGAAGCTTGGTGATTCGAGGATCATAGTCATCCGTATTTCCAAAACCACCCCGAGTTCGGTCGCGATGAGGATCGTGATACCCGATAGTCAATGCAAACGGTCTGTCACTGGATTTTGCTTCCTCGAGAAACGATTTGGCCTGGTCGGCAATAACAGCAACATCGCGAGTGTCGCTCTCCTTGCGCAGTTGCCAGGGATAAACAGCAGATGGCCCTACATGAACCTTGCCCAGAATCCCCGTCCAGTAACCCGCTTCATTCAATAGATAAGGTAAACTCTTCACGTGGTCAAACGTCACGAAATGATGACGGTGGCTCGCAAGCCCATATTGTCCATTCTGGTGGGTGTGTAGACCGGTGTAGATGACAGAGCGACTACCACTGCATGACGCCGTACTTGCGAATGCATAGTCGAATCTGGTCCCCTGCTCTGCGAGGCGATCGAGGTTCGGCGTTTGGGATGTGGTGTCCCCGTAGCAGCTGAGTTGTTTCCCCAGATCATCTGCGATCAACAGAAGAACATTCTTCTTACTCGCCATTGTTGTGAGAGAAGCAAAATAAAATAAGGCTGCGCCAAAGACCTTTGTAACTCGTGGACAAAGAAGGTAAGAAATGCAAAGCTCCAAAGGAAGATGGAGTGCTGTGGGAAGCTGTCCAAGACCCCTGTTGAACCCCGCTTAGGATCACCTACCCTCGCATGGGCGGATAAGGAAATATCTCATAAGCTCAAGGAGTTAGCACCTAAGGTAACTACTGCAATTCCACCTATAGGAAGAGCCCCCTTGCTTGGACTTCGGGTAATTAGAGGTTCGGTTTAACCCGCTGCATCAACGCAATTCCGTCAGCAGATGATGTGCTTCCCGGGCACACAAACACCATTACGCCCTTATCAAAACCACACTTCTTCTATCATGATCTCGTAAGTCGACATATCAATATAAATTAATCACGCCATTTTCTTTACACAGTCAATATATTGCTTTCATGTTGCAATGCGCCCTTAAATTAGGAATCCCTGAAGAAAAGCTGAAGTTGGAGGCATGTGCCTGACAGGGTCCACTTCTGGTATACTCCGTGCTATGGTAGGTTGTGTCATAGCAGAAAGGAGCTATCACGTAGTACCTGGAAACATGCATGATGTTAGTTGAAGCATTAATCAAGAATATATATATAAAGTATTTGAATTTCGCGTCCTCTTGTGAGGAATGCTTGCCCCCTCCAGAATATATTTCTTCCAACGCAAAATAGAATACACCCTAATTATTACAAAGTTCTCAATGCGTTTATCCTCATTTATTCCTGTCTCCCTGCTCGCAGGTCTCGCAGCTGGTCAGCTGATTGGCCCGGTCGGTCCAACAACGAGTCTTGAAGACAAGAATATTGAGTGTAACATCTTAGATTATGGTGGCGTTGCCGATAACCAGACCGATGTTGCAGCATCCATCGAAGCCACTTTCAGCGAATGTGTGCTGAACAACCCCAAAAGTCGTCTTGTTGTCCCCGAAGGCAATTACTTCATTAAGCGAAGTGTTGTTTTGAGTAATGGAACCAATTGGGCATTCCAGCTTGACGGTCTGATCACCGCGGCATATGGTGGAAACTGGACAGTCGACCGTGAGTTGATACTCCAAGGGTTTGCGGGAGAGCAAATAATAAACTCTACCATCAACGGCGAGGGTGACGGAAAATTCTTACTAGATGTGCTCGTCATTGTGAACGGTATGATTCACCTCCCGCTCTTGATAAGACAATAACCAGACTTATTCGCTATCAATATGTGCAGCTGTCGATTTCGAGTTTTATTCGTCCAACGGGCTTGGCGCATTTCAAGGCCAAGGATATATCTATCGAAACTTAGACAAGTGAGTTACCTAAAATCCTGTTCCTAAACACAGCTGATGAGCTTTCAAAGCACCGACCGCCCTCGACTTGTGAGACTTATTTCGCCCACGAATGCCTCCGTGCATGATTTGATTCTTGTGGATAGTCCCAAGTTCCACATCGTGTTTGACTTCGCTGTGAACTTGGAGGCATACCACCTTACTATCCGCGGTGCTAATCTCGGAAGCTATGATGGGATTGACGCCATCGGCACCAACTATTACATCCACGATAACGAGGCAAGTAGATAGACCATAGATCCATGATATAATAGGGGCTAACAATTAGACAAATGACAGGTCACGAACCGTGACGAATGTGTCTCCGTGAAAAGCCCATCCCATCATGCTTTGGTCGAGAACCTGGTTTGCAACCAAGCAGGTTCTGGTGTTTCAATTGGCAGTCTCAACGTATCTGCGGAAATATCCAACATTGTGGGTTTTATCAGTTGTACATCCGTGATAGGTCTTGGCAGATACTGATATGAATCAGGAAGCTCGCAATATCAGCATTATCCAGGGCAACAACATCGCCTTCATCAAGACGTATCCTGGAGGATCTGGTTACGTTAGAGATGTCACTTTTGAAAACTTCCGATCCCTGAACAGCCTATACGGATTGGACATTAACCAATACTGGCAAAACACATGGGAACCTGATACCGGTTCCGTGACATTGAGCAACCTTGTTTTCAAGAACTTTTCAGGTATCTTAACCCGTTTGTTCAGTCAAGTCAGACCCATACTCACGCATAAACGTAGGATCGGTTGCCGATGGGGCACTCCGCCCGCCATTGTACCTGTTTGCCAGTGACTTGACCTTTGCAAGAAACGTCACTGTAGAGGAATTTTCGGTATGGACTGAGACTGGTACGACTGTCGTCAATAAGATCAGCAATATCTTTGGCACTGGAGATGACAGCTATGGAGAAAATGACGGCATTGAAACTCTGCAGTCTGGAGAGTCGCCGTATACATACACTAGCACCTATACTATTACGGCTTCTCCGACCAATTGGCAAGCTCCATCAACCCCAACATGGGCCTTACCGAGCACTGGATATGGAAGTAAGTCAAATTGTTATGTCCGTGCCGCTGAACAAAAAGCTAACTAGTCAACAGCGGCATCACCCATCCCGGTCTATACTCCTGCACCCCTTTGGCGTCCTGGTGGAATCGACTACAATCTTCATTACTGGGGAAGCTTTTAGTTGGATTATCGATTCATTGTGCGTATGGGGAAGTTTGATTATGGTAGTAGAGAATGTATAGACAAACTTGGCTTGATACAAGCTTCTTCTGGGTTTTTTTGTAAGGTAGAAAGAGCAACTATTCTCTCCCGCTACTAGTATAGAGCTTCTTGACATATCCTGATAATGAAAGGCTGGTCTCCCGACCATTATTCCACTTTTACGAACACGTATAGCATCCTTTCACATGTTCCTATCAGCACAGCCCAGCATTGCGTAGAATAACACACCGCTGGCAAGTGGATGAAGGAGATACCAAACTACGCCAATTCCAAAGCTGGTTCAGTCGAAGTACTGTGTACAGCACTAGCAATTTCCCACCAATCCTGATAAAAAATTTGAACAGGGCCTCGACTGTCGGTAAATTAAGCAAGGAGGGGCACCGACAGCGTTCAGGGTCCTGGGTGGGCTATGATTGGAGTAGCCCTAGCTTGTGTCATCCGCGCTTACATGACGACGATGGTCAGCAGCAGCAACACATAGTCGGTTTGCGACAACTTAGACATAAGCAAGTTGAAAAGCAGCTAGTTGCTGTCGTCGTCCAATTAATATAATATAATTCTACTACTATCTCATTAGTATATTTCTGCTTAGCACTGATAGTATAGTATGTCTGGTCGTACGTTGATAACGGAAATGCCCATCACCTCATCGCTATCGTCGATCACGCACCTCCGTACTCGAGCCTCGAGGGGCTAGTGCCCTATGTACCTATCACATGTATATAACTTCAAGATAACCAACGTGCGTTCATCTCCAACAAGCCATACTATCTCGGTCGGGCCTGGATTAACTGTTATACCGTCTTGTTCTTGTCTGGTATACCGGTCGCTCTGACTATGGAGCGAAATTCCTCCAAAGCTGCGTCTTCTCTGGATCGCGATCAAGTCGACAGAAGCCAAGACCTCAAAGATGGAACCTATGTGAACCTTGCCGAGCCGGATGATTCCCCTGGCTCCGATGCAGTCCTTACTTCTCTCTTCCGTCGGACCAAGAAACACGACCCCGACGCCATCGCCACCACTAGAAGTGTATTCGACGACCCTTCCCTCGCACCTTTCTACCAGCCCCATCCAAAATATGAGAATCTTCATCGCTTCGATCCCAGCGCACGATGGACCTATCGTGAGGAGAACAAAGTCCGACGTAAAACGGACTGGTCAATTCTTCTCTGGATCCTGGTTATGTTCTTCGGGTTGAACCTCGATCGAGGCAACCTGAGCAACGCCAACTCCGACAACCTTCTCGGCGATCTTAACCTGACTACGAACGACTACAACAATGCGCAGAATATGTACCGTGTGGGATTTCTAATTGCAGAAATCCCTTCGCAGATGCTCGGAAAAGCAATCGGTCCTGATCGGTGGATTCCCGTTCAAATCATCTTGTGGAGTTTCGCGTCCGGGGGACAATTCTTCATGCACAACCGAGCAGGATTCTTCGCCTGTCGTTTCTTCATAGGGCTGTTCATGGGCGGCTTTATCCCCGACTCCATCTTGTATTTATCCTATTTCTATACAAAAGCGGAGATGCCGTTCCGCCTGGCACTGTTCTGGTTCACTGATTCGATATCTGGAGTGATCGCATCTTTCATTGCGTACGGTGTCTTGCATATGCGCGGAGTTGACGGGCGGGAAGGATGGAGATGGCTTTTCCTAATCGAAGCGCTGATCAGTTTCGTGATCGGCTGTTTAAGCTTCTTGTTTCTGGTCCCTGGACCCACTCAGACCAGAACGTGGTGGAACCCCAAAGGCATCTTCTCGGAAAGAGAAGAGACTATTATCGTTAACAGAGTGCTGCGCGATGATCCATCCAAGGGTGACATGCACAACCGTCAAGCATTGTCCCTGGGTATGTTGTGGAAGAGTCTCAAAGACTATGACCTCTGGCCGATATATATCATCGGGATCATGTTCGAGATCCCGACTTCACCTCCGAAGTCCTATCTGACTTTGTCGCTAAAGGCGATCGGCTTTTCCACATTCCAGACGACCCTCTTGTCCATTCCGGTGACTGTCTTTGCCGCTATCAACCTTGTACTCGTCGCGCTCTTATCTGAGTTCTGGGGCCAAATCTCAATTGTTTGCCTCTTGACACAGCTCTGGTCGCTTCCACTGCTCATTGTCCTGTACACATCTGCAGGAAGCCTATCGAATTGGGGCCTTTACGCCGTCTCGTTCATCCTACTGGGCTGGCCGAATCCACAAGCTGCCCAGGTGAGTTGGTGTTCACGGCTAAGTAACAGTGTCAGAACCAGAGCAGTCGGTGCTGCAGTCTTTAACATCATGATTCAACTGTCTGGAATTGCCTCTTCCAACATTTATCGATCGGATGATAAGCCTTTGTATCGCCGTGGAAATAAACAGCTGATTGCCATCAATGTTGCCACCATTGTCATGTACGCGTTGGCCAAGTTTTATTATGTCTCTCGGAACCGGTGGAAGAAAGCTCAGTGGGACAAGATGACGGCCCAGGAGAAAGCGACTTACTTGGAGACAACCACGGACGAGGGGAATAAGCGACTTGACTTTTATTTCGATAGTTGAAAGAGTTATCATGCTGCTAGGGAAATGAGCGGGTTGGTAGGAGACGTTCATGTCAAAAGGGTTAGTGGTAAATAGCGGACCGCGTTAGCGAAGGGGGACTGTTTGTCGACAGGACAAGCAATGGATATAAAGAATAATCAGGGAAACCGCCATCCGTACATTGTCGTGACCGTAGTGAACACCTCAATTCCATTCGATCAAAGAATTCATCTTATCAGAGCGAGCAGTAGAATGTGTCGTTGGTGCCTTCGGTTATCACACAGTGGAATACTTGTATGGTAGCAATAAATTCGAAACAGCAGTTGTCATACATAAAATCAAGGAGCATATGTTGTTCGGCAACAAATGAAAATTTCAGATTGTCTCGGACACGAAGAAATTCTTCCTGGCTTTATGCACTTTTCACGGATTCTGGTCTGTGGTAAATAGTTAAATTTTTGAGTTGGGCGGAAACGAAAACGAAAACGAACCAAAATAGAAACAAGGGTCCTCCGGCTTAAACGAATATACGAGTGGACCCCCACTATAGATCTTGGATCATCGGCGAAATGGTCACCAAATATTCAGGATAGGATGCTTACATCCAATAGCAGCTACTTTGTAGACAATAGCGTCTGTTTCAAGCTTCTTGATCCGACCGACTTCTAGACCCGAATAAACCACCCCGTTCGCTGGGCAAACAATGCTAAGGCCATCGTACCCATGAAGTGTACGCCGTAGCCCCATATTATCGTACTATACACAAAGTTCATTGCATAGCATTTCCTCAGCCTCCCCTGTGCGGGTCCATTTTCTATTAGTCTGTTATGCGAAGCCCCATGTCACTATGGAGTGATAGTATAAGTACCTAGCTTGATAACGAGAACTTTCCCCGTCCGGCCTTCGAAAGATTTTCCAGGCCCTCATTCTCTCGCTACTATTCATTATTTTCTTCTCACACTCTTTCACGATCTTTTATATCTGTATTTCTTTGTTATTACTTTTCACTGACCACAAAAATGCTGGGCTCCAGGGATCCCGAAAGTTATGAATTCGCATTTTACCGCTATGACCCCAGCATGGGTGGCGCCGTTCTTTTCATCCTTCTCTTCATTGGCACCACAGGGTGTCATGTCTTCCAAATGGTCAAGTCTCGCACATGGTTTTTCATTCCATTTGTCATAGGCGGTATATGTAATGATACTCCCCACTGTTCATAGCCTAGAAACATGCTGACTTTACTAGTTGAGATCATCGGATATATCGGACGTGCCATGTCCAGCAAGCAAAGCCCAAACTGGACGCTCGGACCTTACATTGTGCAGACGCTTTTTCTCTTACTCGCCCCTGCTCTCCTTGCAGCCTCTATATACATGCTACTCGGTCGGATTATCCTAGTGTTGCAGGCTGAATCCCACGCACTGCTGAAAAAGAAGTGGTTGACGAAGATATTTGTAACGGGCGATGTGCTTTCATTCTTATTGCAGGGAGCAGGTACGTGTCTCGTAAGCAAATTTCTTATTATCTAACAGCTCTCTGACACTGTCCAGGCGGCGGAATCCAGTCCAGTGGAAACCTATCCGCCATGAAGACTGGCGAGCACATCATCGTCGTCGGCCTCGTAATTCAAATATTCTTCTTCGCATTTTTCATGATCACCGCAACCCACTTTTACCTCAAGGTCAAGAAGTATCCGTTCCCGCGGTCTTGTTCTCCGCATATCCCCTGGAAAAAACACATGAAGGTACTCTACGCGACGAGCTTCTTTATTATGGTCCGTTCCATGTTTCGACTCATTGAGTACATCCAAGGAAATAACGGGTTTCTATTGCACAACGAGGCCTTTCTTTATGTTTTCGATGCACTGTTGATGTTCATCACCATGGTCATATTCAACGTTATCCATCCGCACGAGATCGGCCAGCTACTACGTCAACCCAATGACTATGACATGACGAGTTTCTCAGAAGAGCAGACCCCAAAGCCCTACCAAGGGTACAATAATGTGTGAGAGTTGTGGCATTCCTGCTACACTTTGGTCGTTATCTAATCTGTCCCTGTTCGCGCTATATATATTACGTTCGTTGTCTTCTTTCCAGTCCCGACTCTTTATTACTTCTTATCTACATCTTAATAACACGTTAAATTTCAGGAGGATGAACAAGCCTTGCCAAATTGTGGGGCTTATAGCTTCATTCCCGTCACGTGACCTTTGGCTCAGGAGGCCGGGTTAATGCAATCAGAAACGATAGAATGATGACAGTTTGTACAAACCAGTTCTGTACCAACCAGGCTTTTGTTGCTTTCAACCTTATCGGATTGTGGGGTTCAATAAGTTATCTCGATCCTGATCCGTAGAGGCGGATACTCCGACAAGACATCAGGAACTAGAACACAATAGGACTGGCTTACAGCGGTACCTCCAGAACTGGCCGTTCTTAAACAAGATTGTCCCAATATCAGACCGAATTTTCTTGAGCAGTGAGACATGTCCGACTGTTAGCTGGGACTATTTTTAGCATGTCATGCCTTAGGTCGGATTCCGTACATAGAAGGTTAGTGGATGTCTTGAGGGCTTGAACAAAATAAGGCTAGGATGAAACTGGGTGTCTCACTGGGTATCTCATTCGTCCAACAGCATCGGTTGTTCCGGCCCGCTAGTTTCCACCACATGTCACTTGTCTCGGATTATTCTTGAAGGCTTGGCATTTCGATCTTCAGGGAGGCGTTGGTTGGTGTACTTAAATAGAGTCATTCACGCCATTATTTTCCCTCTTCAACTTGCGCGAATTGATTTATTCAGTATGGCGTCTAAGACCCTGCTACTCATTCCGGCATTGGCCACGGCCGCTCTGGGGAATGTATTGGACCTCGATATTAAGGTTCGAAATGGTTATGTATGTGAAGTCTAGCTACCTCAAATTTGTTTGCTAATTCGCGGAATAAGAGGACCATCGAGGTTGACCTCGGAACCCCAGGAGGCCCGTTTGATTTGATGTACGACACTGGATCATCAACGCTCTGGGTGCTCGATAGCAATTGTACAGATGATTGTGTGAATGTGAGCGGGTTAGTTCATCACTCCCCCTTTTTCACTACTATATTGCTGACGTCCACCAGCTACTCTCGACACAGCTATAATCTCACATCTACGGGCGTCGACTTGGGTATCGAAGACAGCATTGATTATAGCGGGGGCACCGTCAGCGGCTTTACTGCCACAGATATCCTCACTGTCCCAGACACGGACGTCTCCTATCGCCAAAGCTTTGCGGTCATCACCGACAGTACCTGGGCGGCATTGGCAGCTGATGGGTTCATCGGCTTGGCATCCTCCACCATCGCTTTCAAAAATACCACGTCCGCCTTCGAACAAATGATGCAGGATGGACTTTTGGATGAACCTCGATTTGCCCTATACGCTGGTTCCGGGGTGTCAACCACGTCGAATCCTGATCCGGAGAACAACGGTGTGTTTACTTTCGGTGGTAGTTATGAGGATATTTATGCGGATGGTGATCTGCAATGGATGACTATGCTCTCCCCGTTCGAGATTTACAAAACGAACCTCCTTGGCATTCAGGGACACAACATCTCCAATGGCCAGAGCATGTCAAGCGAAGTCCTGAACTGGTACGGCCAGGTTATTTTCGACACCGGTATGAACCCCACTACGACACCTTTATTTTTCCTGAATTACTCGGACTAACCTACATAATGACGTAGGCGCTTCGGCAATAAGCATCCCCAACGACCAAATTGAGGCCATGTATGCTCTAACCCCGTTTTCTTACGCCGATATCTCATCCGGATACCGACCTCTGTGCTCCGATTTCAACGATACATGGTCGATCTCTTTTACCATGGGTTTCTACGGCGAGGGCGTTACCTTCAACTTGACCGGTGATCAGCTGGCTGTGCCTGGTTATCAGGATGACGACCATTGCTTCCCTCCTTTCAATCCGTGGGACAGCTACAATACTATCATTGGCCAGCATTGGTTGAGCAACTTCTATGCTGTTTTCGACTTTGGATCTTTTGATCCTGACACATACAATATCCGTGTTGGGTTGGCTCCTTTGAGAAAGGAATACCTGCCCAGAGCTTGAACCACGCTCTTTCATTCATCTAAGAATTTGCTACAAATCTACAGCGCGAAGGTGAATATCTAAACCTTACGGAGGGGTACTTAGTACGTTGAGTTTGTGTAGTAATCAGAATATCATTGAAAATTCCGGGTCTTTTTCTTACAATAGCCAGCTTAGGGTGCATACCTCTTGGGTTGTAAGATTAGTGAACAAGGGGGGACCATTTCACACTGGACCAGTGAAGCAGCAGCAGACGGGTAATGATTCCAGCGGCGCTGCTGGCCTTGACTCTGTTAGCGGTTTCGTCCCTGCGCACAGCTGTCTGCTGGAAAGGCGTCAAAGGCCACGGATGTTAGGACAGCTATGGTGACGGCGACGTATATCAACGTGGTTATTGATCCGGGGTTATTTCGGGCAGAAAATGTATGCGGAATAGTAGGGTTCTATGTTAATGATGCAGACCACACCGTTTCTTGCCGGTGCTGGGGCGATGAAGACGGAGGTCTGACGGTGTTGTGTATATGGTTCCCTAAAGAGTGTGGGCTGACGGGGATCTCGATAGACATACATAGATCACAGCGATGTACACTCGCAAGCACAACATGACTAGTGCAACCATGAACACTGATTTTGTGAACAGTACCCCGATAGGGCAGATGAGATGATAATACTAGCGTCAATCTAACCGAGCATCTTCCAAAAGCTTTGAAATATCCCTTTATATTCAAAAGATATCGTATAGTGACAATTTAATTTCCAATATTCGTATACATCATATCTCTCTACTCATCAAGATTATACGGAACACCTTTCTCGAGCACGAGATCCCTGGCAGACTTGCCCGAAACGGAACGAATATCAGGATCGGCCCCGACTTTCATCAGGACATCTAAAACAACCGCCCGTACTTGCCCAGCGCTTTGGTCGTTTCCCGGCGTATAGGTGCGGGTCTCCAGGTAGTAATACAGCGGCGTGCGGCCCTTGTTGTCTTGTGCGTTGATATCCTTGTCAGCACCGTGGGCCAAAAGGAACCTCAGGCCGACCAGCTCCCAGTCTGGATTATGCAGAGTAAGGTGAAGCTCTGTCTGGCCTTGAGAATCGGCCCGCAACTGTGCTCCTGCCTCCATAAAAGTGCAGAACCGTGGAATCATGCCCTCATAGTGGGGCAGCGTGTAGTGAAGGATACTTTGCCCTCGGTCATCGAGACTACTCAGATCAGCCCCCTGTTCTTTGAAGAAATGAAAGAGGCGCATGCTATGTGCCTCAACCTCGGGATCCTCCGGGCTATAGGAGGACCAGCAGTTGGCGAGATGGAACGCAGTTTGGCCGTCCTTCGTGCGATAATTCGCTAAATCCGGGAACCAAGGGCACGTGCGCGGCCAGAGCAGCTTAATTATATCGAGATGACGACGCTGACAGGCTTGGTGGACTGGCAGCCAACCGTTGGCGTTCACCATGAGGGGGTCTGCACCGTGGTCCAGCAGGAACTGTACGCTCGATAAACGACCACTCCTCGCGGCGGCGTGCAGCAAAGAACCCCCTTGGAAGGATCCCGTCTGCGGGATCTCTTCGTTGATGTTTATCACGGCGCCTTCGCGCTCGAAGAAGTATCTAACCAAATCCGGGTGCCCGTTGCGCACCGCGCGAGCGAAAAGGCTCATTTCCCCGCTTCTTCCTTCGGGGAAATCCACGCCGTGGTCAACGAGCATATCGACCATATCCAAGCCCATCGAGCAATCAATAGTGGCATAGATGATTGGTCGGTGCTTAACCCAGGGGCGTCTGTATATTGACAATGGGGGTTTTGCGTTTGGGCGGGCCCCGTGGGAAAGTAACAGCCGGAACGTCTCAATTCCCCTTTGCCAGGCAACCTCTGGTTCGTCCGGGATCCTCGGATAGTAGAGGTCGTACACCTCATAGTCAGCGGCATCAGCGAGAGCCCGGTCAAGAACATCTTGTGGTACCCCCGGTGCAGGGTAGTTACGGAGCAGAATGTCCAACGTCTTCGGATAACGGTGTGATGCTGCTGCAGCGATGGCGAGCGGCCATTCACGGCTGCTAATCGCGTCCGGGGGTAGGCGATCAATCAACCGCCGTATGACAGCGTCGGAGCCATTGAATGCTGCGGCCATAAAAGGAGTGTGTGGCTCGCTAATCCTTCCCCCAAGGGTGCCGCGATGTCCATCTGTTCCAATGTCATCCACCGTTGCATCTGCCCCTGCGTCGAGCAAAATATCCACCATCTCGGACGAGTTGTTCGCAGCGACAAGATGCAAAGGTGTCAGGCAAACTTCACCGTAAGGCTCGTCGCCTTTCTGATTGACATCGAACCCTCGGGAAATCAGGTAACGGAGGATGTCTGGCTGTTCCCATCTGATGGCCTCATGTAGCGCCGTGTCACCAAAATGAGGAAGATCCACTCCTTCGGGGGACTCAAGAATCGCAGCCACGGCGGTGAGATTGCCAACGCAAGCCCACCCTATTAACTGCTCGTCAGGGCCAGCGTCACTGTTATATGGAATTCCTGGGTAGCGGGCCATAATGGTTGGAGGCTGTGAAGGAAATCAAATAAAAGTGAAAAGGAAAAGGAAGATAAAAACTCTGGCATCTAGTAGAGAAAGGAAGTTGAAGTGGAGTAGCGAAGAGTACAATACCCGGCGGGTTAGCATTGATACGTCTCGCGGAGTATGTTACGGAAGTGGTATGTAAAATACGCATGGCTGGGCAGTAGGATACAATGCGGGTCAACCCGCTGGCTGGTCTTTCTAGAAAAGAACTGCCCTCCAAACAACATAAACTCTAGGCCAAAAAGAGACTCCTTTTCTTAGCTGGTTCTGTGCAGAAATACCACTTACTCAAGACGAACAGCTGCCATACACTGACAAGCAATTTGCTGCTGCACAATAGGCATCTGAGCTGCCACAGTATCCGTTTACCGAACAGCAATCACCGAACTGACTGCCCAGGCACGTGGCGCTATTCGAGGACATGAAGCCGCAAAGGCCATCGGAACTAATTGGCTGCTCAGTGCAGCTTCCAAAGGCAGACTGGCATTGACCGACCCCACAGTATGCATCTGTGCTGCCACAATAGCCGCTCGTCGAGCAACAATCGCCGAATTGGCTGCCGGCACAGCTTGCATTGACAGAGGACATGGAACCACAAAGCCCATCAGGGCTCACAGTAACCGTGTCACAAGTGCCAAACGAGGAGTCACAGGAGTCAATTCCGCAGTAATCGTCAGTGCTTCCACAGTAGCCATTGACTGAACAGCAGTCCCCGAAAGCGCTACCCGCACATGTTGCATTAGAAGAAAGTGCTCCACACAAGCCATCCGAACTGATAGTAGGTCCAGCATCACATGTGCCAAACTCTGTTTGACAGCTAGTATAAGCACAGTAGTCCGATGTGCTCCCACAATATCCGTTAATCGAACAACAGTTTCCGAATGAACTACCCGCGCAGGTGGCGTTGACTGAAGAGAGGGCACCGCATAATCCATCAGAGCTGATCGGAGGTGCTTCCTCACAGCTCCCGAATGCACTCTGACATAAATTGTAGGTGCAGTAGTCGAATGTATCACCACAATATCCATCAAGCGAGCAACAAGACCCAAACTGACTTCCGACACATGTCGCATTAGTTGACGACCGCGACGCACAGAGGCCATCTAGGGAAATAGGGTTGCCTGAAACACATAGGCCGTAGGAAGAATCGCAGAGGCCGGCTGTGCAATAGTCTGCGGTGCTGCCGCAATACCCGGAGATAGAACAGCAATCTCCGAACGATGATCCCAGACAGGTGGTGCCATTGCCACATAGTCCATTCGTCGAAATGGTCAAGTTGCCATTTATGTCTGTCGCATTGAAGCCACTCATAGGGTGAATACAATATATAACTCCAACTTTCAGGTCTCCGTCACAGGTCGCCGCGGATGAGATGGAAGGGTTTGCAGCCATGAATAAGTTGAACGGCGTATTTGCCTGGGCCAAGACCGACACACAACTGTCACCCGATACCACGGTATAGTACTGGCCACAGTCGGTGGTGGTCCCATCAGCTAGCGTGACATCATTTGGCAAAGCAACGAAACTGGTACCATATCCTGACCCAGATCCTCCCTGCGCATCTATGCCTGACTCCGAGCTCGAATTGGACGAAACTGTAAAATTTAAAGCTCCTCCGGGAGGAGAAACACATCTCACTCCACCTAGCAGTGCTGTATCGGCTATATTTGAGCAATCGCTCTCGATCATGCCATTGTATGATACAAGCTTCATCCACGACGTTCCAACGGTAGCAGCAATAGTGGGGCAATTGTCAGCTGCAGTAACCTGGTAGATGTACCCGCATGCTAATGGTAGGCACAGGTCGAGCCCCACGGTTGGATCACTGCAGTTGTACAAGGTCGGATTCATTTGATACAGGGTTAAGGAGGAGAAAGAATACGCTATGGCGATAGAATCACATTTTTCTCCTTGTTGAACCGTATACCAAGTATCTGTTGAGCAAGTGGGGTCGGCTGCAGGTATAGCAATGCCTCCAGCAGTCGGTTCTGTTCTCACACCCGTAAGGTTGCAGACTATGGGTAAATCATAAATTTTGTCAGTCGTCCACACCCTTTCAGCTGTCAACTTCTGTAAGGTGATAGGATGGAGTTACCTGAAATCGAATAATTGAGCATAGTCTCATAAGGCTCGTTGTAAGCCGAATACGGGGACTGTTGCATCATTTTCAACTTCCCAATCCAGCAATCATCACAAATATCTGACCTGGGTACATCGCTCAAGTCAGACGCCGAGTCCCATAAATCGATGATATCTAGAGCTAGTGATTTATTTGTCAATTTACTGTGTCATCTCCAATAGTGAATAGCCAACGAACCATTACAGTAGGTGCCGTTTGCACTTGTTCAGGTCAGGCCTGAATATGCTCCCAGTAAGTCGTGGACGGAAGTTTGATTATATTCCACTTCCTACCAGAATCTAGCTATGGCCATCGTGCACCTTTTTTTCGACTTCTAGAAAGAGTATGAAACCCACATTTGATCAGACGTTATGCCATCCTTCCAAGTGATAAAGTAGACGTGACACTACCATAAGCTAACTAGCTATTTTTGCTGACCTGTACTCACGTAAAGTGATTTGGGTGGGGGGCGGACGGTCGAGATTACTATGGGTTGCTGTGATCTAAGAGAAATCGCTTGTCGCTTGTGTGGCATGGCAGATATCCACTGATCATTGATTCTTTGCCTCAGCCTATAATTTAGCGCAAGGGGGAAATGGTGTGGTGCTGTTGATGGCCTGGTCCACCTCCAATCAACCTCATAACAATTACAGATAACGGAATATCTCATGTTGACTCTCATGAGCCACGATTTTTGGCGTTGGGATGTCAGAAGGTGCCAATGGTGATTTGGGTGCTACAAGATGTATTCCAGCAATGCCTGACGGATTCGTGTGCGGCTATTTTTCACATGATGAATATTGCGACCCCGAGACGATGCGAACTATCCTGGAACCACAAATGGTGCTATATATCTCCTAGTTATTTAGCTTTTTGACCTCGACTCGCCGAGGAAATTGGGTATATTGTCGAAAGCAGAATATTCTCCAAACGGGATTGTACCAATCCTCTGACAAACGCAGAATTTCAGCCCCACGAGAATCCCTACACTCTAGGCCTATGCCTTGGCTAAAGCACTTCTCACTTTGACGAAGACGTGGTGGGCTTACTTGGTGGAGCGCCGTACATTCTGCCACCTTCGTATGTTCGTATACTCGGGAGGCATGTTCGTAAATTCGTATAGTTCGCATAGAGCAGCCCCACACCGGAGACACTCCGTTTCCGGATTAGACTTTTAAGCTTGATTTCAGGCAGTCTATCTAAGGCAACGTACGTGATTGGTGACCTTAATGGAGTGCAGGTGCTTGATATCAATGAGGTTGCTAGGTTGAGCAGTTATGGTTTTCGAGGAAGGGCGATTGCAGCCTTTCCTGCGGGTGAGCTGAGATCGACGCCTGGTCTGCGCCACGAACATCATCTAACTACTGAATATGGCAAAATGTTCGACAACGTAGAGATGTGAGAAGAGTTTTCCCTTCGAAGTCTGGATCAATAACGTGTGCCTCGATGGCTAGGCCTTCTAAATTCAGGACCACGGTCTATCTGTATCACGAAGTTTCATTGGGTCAGGATGATTAGATAATATGTACACTGAGGATATCTCCAATTTTTATATTAATCTACGAACGTATGACTCCATTCCAAGATCTTCATGGATTTATCGTGCCATCAGGTCCTGGGGCTGAAAGTCCACGTGTTGGGATGTGGGAGTTACGGCTATCACCCCAACGACAATCTTATCATCTCAGGATATATTTAACCATCAATCTGCTGTGTATATCAGGCATTTCCTGAAAACTGTGTAGCCTATCCCCTCTGCGAGTAAAAACTTGGATGTTGGTCCGCCCTTGGGTCCCAGCGGTTAGGGCGTGGCGGACCGCTCGATCTCTCCGCGGACCCACACGTATTCGTATATGCTTAGGCTCGAAGGATCTCAGGGTCCAATGCAGCGATTTTGATATCCTTATATTAATCTCATCTCATCTAGTGCTCCAGTCTCCATTCATCATCAAATCTCTCCTTCATTCCTTACCCCTGCTATACCCAAAATGGCCTCCCAAAACGACTCCAATGTATCCTTCGTCCTCTATCGATACACTCCGTCGATCCCAGCCGCTGCCATTTTCACTGCTGTTTTTATCATCCTGGCCATAGTCCATACCTATATGGCTTTTAGGTACCGATCTAAATATTTCATTCCTTTTATTATCGGTCTACTTTGTAAGTACATTTTCGAAAATCTGCAGCCATCACCAAACTAACTTACCGCGGTATGAACAGTCGAAGCAGCTGGCTACATCGCCCGAATCTTTTCCCACAATGACCCCCTCGCTCTCGGCCCCTACATCGTCCAGACCATGCTTATCCTCGTCGCTCCTCCACTCTTCGCTGCATCCATCTACATGACCCTAGGCAGATTGATCCTCTACCTCGACGCCGAATCCGCCTCTCTCCTTCGCGTGAAATACATCGCTAAGATATTCGTCGTCGGGGATATTATCTCCTTTCTCTTGCAATGTGGAGGTACCTATACCCTAGTACACCATCACAATCCTCCCAAGATCCTCTCTAATGCAGATTTTGTATTGCAGGTGGTGGCTACATGGCAGCCGGCAGCCTCTCCGCCATGGAAGACGGCGCGCACATCGTAATCGGCGGTCTAGCCGTGCAACTCCTTTTCTTCGGGTTCTTCATCATCGCTAGCGCTATTTTCCATTATCGAGTTAAGAAGAATCCGCAATACTACACCACCAGACAAGTGGAATCCGCCTCCCGTCGCGACTCGTGGGAGTGCATGCTGTGGTGTATTTACGGGGCGTGTGTGCTCATTCTCATTCGGTCGATTTATCGTGTCGTTGAATTTGTGGAGGGGAACGATGGATTCGTTATGCATTTGGAATATTTGTTGTATATCTTTGATGCCGTGTTGATGGCCCTGCAGGCGATGTTGTTGTTGGTTGGGTATCCTGGGCGGGTGCTGGGAGGGGGGAAACGGGGGGATGCGGGTGTGCCGTTGGAGGATAGGGCAGATTCGGCGGAGAGGTTTTTGAGGGACGGGAAGGTGGCTGTTTAGGACTTGGATTTGGGATGAGTATGTACTTTGGATGAACGGGTTGCGATTAGTGATTGGGTTTATGGAGTTTGAGGCGTATAAATGTGCTATATAGATAGTTTGTTATTATTGATTACGATCTTCATTAAAACAGTACATTGGCATGACGTTACTCTTCCTGCATTGCCATCGGCCACTGCATCAGAGGCATCAGCGCTCCATCTCCCAGCTTCACAACCAGCATATGGGTGTTCCGGATCTCTCTTGGAAACGTCCCTCGTAGATACCACAGATCCTCAAATAAAAGCAACATCACATAGAAATGTGCCAGGATCACATATGAAAAGCCTTCGATGATACCAGCATCCTGTCCCTGCTGTATCGACAAAATAAACGATTGTGATATGAGATGCGGCCACGACAGGACAGCGGCATCTTCGAGATCGGTCTGAATGTCCATTGAGACGGAGCTATCGCGCTCACTAGCTGTGAACCGAAAGACGTAGAGAGTGCGCATGTACATGTCCTCAAGACGATCGATCGTGCTGATCTGTTCGCGTAGAAGTTCTGGGATCGTTTGGATGTTGGGAGATCCATAGGAATCTGGGCTTGGAGTGTCTTCCATGTTTATCCCATAGTCCTGGGTAAGAGTGTTTGCGAAGGCACGCAATAAGGAAATCTGCTGAGCGGCGCCTTGGGCGAAGCGGATAAATCGAGGGGGGGCGCCTTGTAGACGTGGAAACACCGGTGTTGATGATGTGGCCGGAAAGTCCTTCCAGTGCTCATTTGCGTGAGAATAATTCATTATTGTCCGTAATCTGCTGATCCGAAGGACGGCATAGTGCTCTCCTACGAAGGCTCCCAAGCCGCGGACTAGGTGCAGCCAGTCAATCCAGGGTTCTCCGGCTGAGTCACCATTGTGAAAGCCCATCCCCTTATCGCCTAAGGCGCGAATGCGCAAGGAAGCAAAGGCAAAAGCGATAATTAGGAGGGAGCCACAGAAGATGTATTCGGCTGTACTAGCTGTCGCTTCTGATAATGCGTGTCGGAAGCCTTCAAGGCCTTTCTGGTGGTGATCGAGGATCCGGTAATAATCACGAAAAGAATTTGCCTCAGGGTTGTTGTGGATATTCGGGTCAATATTTGGGTTTAATGAATTCGTTTCGGGAGAGTCTGCCTCGCATAGTGCATGCGTGCCGGCCAGCGCAAGGAGAAGATGCATCAGATACTCTTCTTCTGTAGCCAGGGTTGGGATGACTCGCTGCCAGATCAATTTTCGCTCCGGATGGAGAGCCATTCTGTCAGAGACATGGACCATGAAATGCGTCAAGAGACTCATGTCTGGCATGTCAAGGCTCTCGTTGTGATGAGAGACCTCCGCTGATTCAGACAGCGGTGGTATGTGCAGATCTAACGGCCGTAATGGCTGCCCTACATTGTTGCTCGCAAGGCGACGAGCACGCCCTGTACTTGTGGGACTGTTAACCTGTAGGTCAGATATTGGAGCTGAAAAGGGGGTCAACGGCCACACAACGTCGTCCCCATTGACGTGAGGTTTGGGTACCTACATTACATGCTCATCTGGTGGCGGAAATGAGCATGGTTCGTCGCGAAAGGAACACGCGCCACAAACCGGTCTTACTTCATCACACTGAAAGCGGTCAACATCGCAGCTGAACTCTCTGCGTGGCGCTTATACGAACCTTCACCCGACGGAGCTTGCAGGTGTAACAACCTTTGCGGGATTTGTTGTGGCGCGCCCGTCGCCTTTTGGGATGTCGCGGAGGGGAAACATCGGGCAATGAAGCACCCGTTGAGGATCGGGTATCAGACATGATTTGCTCCCGAGCAAGGCCAATATCGCAATCTCATTGGTCTCGGTAAGGAGCCAGTTGAGAGTGGGAGAAACGGCCTGGAAGTTGGAAAGGTTGATGGGGTGGTGGTGATGCCCTCACCCAAACAGCTGGTACGGGAGGCTGAGTAGACCATCTCTGCACATTAGGCGGATTTAAATCCTATCAGTTCATACACAGCCACAGACAGAAATAGAAAAATATATGTATTCCTTTATCATATTACTGAAGATACTGGTATGTGTAGAGGTGCACTTGGTAGCTGGATGGTGAGTAAAGGGCGGGGGGGGGGGGGAGTTGGGGGGTGTTGAAGATGTCCCAATCTCAAAGTATATCTTGAGCGCTTATCACGTGGAAGCGGCTATTTAAACTCTGGACGGGACTCATCCAGGAAGGTGCACTATACTAGGATTCATTTATAATTCAGTCAAATGGATCAATGGTATTTTCATGGTCAGTAGGAACACCTATCTTATACCATTATCACCTCAGTTCTAGTCTCACACAGTACATGTTTGTCCACAGTCGCAAGCGTGGCCATTATTGGTGGACGACATACTAAATCTCGTGGGAACTATAAGCCTTCACAACATCAATTCCAGCAGCAAAAATACACGCAGAAGAACAAAAGTCACATCTCTCCCTAAGGGTTGCTTAAATACTATTTCCGGCAATGGCTGCAGTAGGCCCTACCCTAAAGCTCCTCCAATCCTTGCTCGGAGCGATGCAACGGGTTAGGGCTAGTACTATGGGAGGATTTCTAAGCTACAATATAGCGCCTGCTTCATAGGTCTATTTCTAATCGTCCCGGCTATATTACATACAGTTCAGTGCAGGACAGCTATCAAAAGGCGGCATATAACGAAGGCACCACGGTTATACGCGGCATAGTCACCGCTTCCTCCAGAATGTTCGTCCATATGCTTAGTAGCTCACTATGGGGTAGCCTTGTCCACTAATGTATTGGGTAAGGAATTACTAAAAGTATCTGCGTTATTTTTTGAGATTAGCTGAAGGAAAATAGACGACATTGATGTGGAGTCAGTCAACGTATATACATGTGATACTGAAACATTTTTGTCACCTTTTTGATGACGAGAGTCGAAGATGAAGCAACTTAGTGATCATGTCGCTGTATATTGTATAACCACCTCCAAATACGCGATCCGATGAAGTTTCTTCCCGCTGATTCGAACAGAAATCTTCACTGCCAGTAAGTCATGCAGTAAATCATGCCGGAGTATATCGAGATCAGTTCCCTAACTTTAGCTGAATATGGTAATCATTGCATGGCCCTGTTGCACCACCACCATCCTCCCGAGAAAATACCGACTGACCACGGCACTAGCGACAAGCCACAGCGCTTACAGCCGCATCCTCTAGCCCAACAAAGACACTTGGGGGTCGAATCCCACACGTGGTGAAAATAAACTTCTGACCAGGGCGAATCCCTGAAGTGGCATAAAGCTCGCACAGACCCCCTTCCATTAGAAATCCAATCCGTTGGTCATACAAATTCATGCTTTTCTCAACCCTTTACCCCTTGTTCGGCCTTCTTTCCGAGTCGTGGGGACATATTTCGGAGACATTGGGGCAATTTTCCTCCGGATGCTGAATAATTCCCGGTGGATCCACGATGATGATTTGCCGAATGGGTGTCCATCAGTGGAGCATAACCAACTTGGCTTAAAGCCAGTTGGAGGCTGAGGATCCCCGCGAAGCTTCCATGCCATTGAAGCCACAATTTGGAGACCCAGAAAAAAGTCAGACCATTAATCGGAGACTTCGCCCGATGCGGCAAAGATGCAGATTCTTGTCGATGCCACCTTAATCAGTATAACCTCCACTTTTTGGATTTCAAATCAATTTCCACTCGCTTCTATTCCCCATGGGACCGTATAAAAGCGGTATTTCCTCTCAATTGAGTCTCCATCTACTATCCCATCCTTGTGTATACCCTACTACTACGTATTCCCTTTAATATTATTCTTCTTCACGACATCATGACTGTCACCACCGATCTCGTCAACCACCCTGCTCAGGGCATCTCCTACTTCACTCCCGCCCAGAACCCCCCCGCTGGTACCGCCGCCAACCCGCAAACCAGCGGCAAGCCGGTCCCGAAGCTCTTCCACCCGCTCACCATCCGCGGCGTCACCTTCCAGAACCGCCTTGGTGTATGTACCCAATTCCTCAGTGTCTACATTTTTCATAAAATCAACTAACAAGTGGTATTAGCTCGCCCCTCTCTGCCAATACTCCGCCCAGGATGGCCACATGACCCCCTACCACATCGCCCACCTGGGCGGTATCGCCCAGCGCGGTCCCGGTCTCATGATGATCGAAGCCACCGCCGTGCAGCCCGAAGGCCGCATCACTCCCCAGGACGTCGGTCTGTGGAAGGACTCGCAGATCGGCCCCATGCGCCAAGTCGTCGAATTCGCCCACTCCCAGAGCCAGAAGATCGGTGTCCAGCTCGCCCACGCCGGTCGCAAGGCCAGCACCGTCGCCCCCTGGATCTCCGGTACCGCCATGGCCACGGAGGAGCTCGGCGGCTGGCCCGACCGTGTTATCGGACCCAGCGATATCCCCTTCGCTGACTCTTTCCCCAAGCCCAAGGCCATGACCAAGGACGATATCGTGCAGTTCAAGAACGACTGGGCTGCTGCTGTGAAGCGTGCTATTGAGGTTGGCGTTGACTTCATTGAAATCCACGGTGCTCACGGTTACCTCATTTCCTCTTTCCTGTCGCCTGCTGCCAACAACCGTACCGATGAGTACGGCGGTTCCTTCGAGAACCGTATCCGTCTGCCTCTTGAGATCGCCCAGATCACTCGCGACATCGTCGGCCCTAACATGCCTGTCTTCCTCCGTGTCTCCGCTTCCGACTGGCTCGAGGAGACTCTCCCCGAGCAGAGCTGGGGTACTGAGGACACTGTCAAGTTCGCCAAGGCGCTGGCTGACCAGGGTGCTATTGATCTGATTGATATCAGTACCGGTGGTGTTCACGCCGCTCAGAAGGTCAAGTCTGGCCCGCTGTTCCAGGCTCCCTTCGCTGTGGCTGTCAAGCAGGCTGTTGGCGATAAGCTGTTGGTGTCGGCTGTCGGTGCTATCACCAACGGTCGCCAGGCTAATGATCTGCTTGAGAAGGAGGGTCTGGATGTCGCTCTGGTCGGTCGTGGATTCCAGAAGGACCCCGGTTTGACCTGGACTTTTGCCCAGCATCTTGACACTGAGATCTCCATGGCGAGCCAGATCCGTTGGGGATTCACTCGTCGCGGTGGTCGCGAGTTCATTGATCCCAGCGTTTACAAGCCTTCCATTTTTGATGCTTAGATGATATATAGTGGTGATGCTTAATAGACTGTACATAGAATAGACATGACATGCCCGATTCAACCATCTCATTTGTCTTCATACGTTATTTAACCTTATACAATCTATAATAATGACTGAATAACTCCACGCTACTCAAATAGAATGTAAATAGAAGGGACATATCCTACACCTATATTCCCCTCATCTTATACAATCTACATCTTATCCACATTCCCTCATCGCCCCACAATAGTGATAATCTTACAACCCCGGCGTCTCCGCAATCCTAAAAACGTACTTCACGGCACTCGCCTTCCCATCCATCAAATCCTTCATCGCCCCCTTCACGCCCTCCAATCCACCCTCCCTAACCTGCCACGGATGACCCTTGAACCGCCCATCCTTCAACGCGCGACTAAACCACCGACAAAACACATAACACAGATCCCGACAATCATCCACCCCATTGGCCTTCTCATGCGCCGCATTCACCCACGTATTCGTCGACAACAACCCGGGCAGATCCTTGGGATCCCGGGGGAGGACATGGTCCACTTGTCCTCCGGGCGTGACTACCTGAGTGAGGACGTGTGCGCTGGTATCGTCGACGATGGTGTCGAGGGCGTTTTTGATGTTCAGATTCAGGGATTTGATGGAGGCGATGGTGGAGTCGGTGCCTGGGCGGTAGTCGATCACCGTGTCGCCTTTGCTGGGGTCGAGCAGGGATTGCACGTAGGGGGACCCGCTGCCGGCGATGGCGATGATCGGGTGGATGTTGCTGGCACGGAGGAGCTTGATGGCGAAGGAGCCCACGGCTGTGCTGCCGCCGTAGATGACGAAGGGGGTCGGGGTGGTCGTGGCGCTGGGTGGGGACCATGGGGTGGGCAGGGCGTGGTGGTGATGGAGGGAGATTACGGCTGTTAGGGCTGCGAGGGGGATGGTTGCGGCTTCTGTGGGTTGTAGTGTGGTTAGTGTTGTTCTTCGAATGGGATGGGGATGGGGATGGGGATGGTACCCTCGAAGGAAACGCTCTCCGGCAGGTGGAAGGTGGTGTGTGCCCAGGCCACGGCGTACTCGGCGTATGAACCACCGGGCTTCAGCATCTCGTGGAATGCGGCGACACGGTCGCCTTCCTATGTTCATTAAGCATGCGCATACGACATGGCACAAGTTGTGTAAGGTATACCTTGAATTCCACCACGTTCTTTCCCACCTTCTGGACCACACCGGCGATATCATCGCCCTGGTTCACGCCTTCACGTACATGTTCATACCGGGAGTAGAGGAAGCTGTTCGGGTCATTGGCCAATTCGGCGACCTTCCAGTCCTTGGGGTTGGAGCCGGACACGACCACCTTGATCAGGACTTGGTCATCGTTGATGCTGGGGATGGGGGAGTCGATGAGCTTGGTGCTCGGGCCGGGGAGGTTGATGATTTCCTTCATTTTGATAGTAGGATGCAGGAATAAGGGATACACTCAATTGGTTTGGAAATTGGTGGATAGGGTATACATATATAGAAGCTAGTATGGACAGGGGTGCTGTCTAGTGCTAAGCTCCGGGGAAGTGAAGAACATTATTAAGCAGGGTGGGGATACCTGATGTCATGAGTTGTTGAATGTTGAGTTTCATGACTCGGGCTCGGCATTCCAGAAAATTAGAGCTGAAGAATGCCGGATAGAAGGACTTCCGAACCCGTTGGCCCGTGCTGCTGGTGATTGCTAATGTTTATCAAAACCTTCCATGTATGTCCATTGTAGTCTATAGATCTTCTAGTCTATATCTATTCTGTCCACCACATTATGCACATAATAATAACATCGAATCCAAGAAAGGAAGTCAAAGCTTGCTTGGCCGCTCGTTCTTCAGCACCGCCGCATTCCACGGGTACGGATCAAACACCAGATCATTGACCGGGTTCTCCTGGCTGGCCCGCCGGAAGAGATCTGGGTACACTTCACCATCATACTTGCCCAGACTGCTGTCCAGCTGCCAGTCGGGGATCTTCCACGAGTCCACCAGGCGCACCGCATGCGGGCGGATCTCGTCCAGCAGCTTCATCACCGCATTGGTCTGCGTCAGGCCGATCTGTCGCACGGTCACCGCGCTGGACGAGAAGAACTCGGATGCCTCACGCTCCAGCGTGTGCAGAGCGTACAGACGGAACAGCTTGTGCAGGATGCCCGTGGTCTCGGGGTCCAATGCCCCGGTAACCTGGGGAGACGTCACCGCCTCGTAGAAGTTCTTCACCACCAGGTACTGCGAGTGAGCCGTGGACAGGCGCCAGAAGTCGACCAGCAGGCTGTTCCAGGACCGCTTCTCAGCATCACGGTGCTTCAGCGCCTCGAATGTGAGGTGAGCCGTCCGCCAGGCAAAGGCAGCCACGATGTCACTGTCATTGCCGAGGATATCGAACGAGGCGCCCTTGTCGCGGCGCGAGAGGTATGCCTGCAGGATGCGGGATGTGTCGTTGTTGGATCCCTTGCCGGCAAGGACGGCGCGGGCAGATTTCAGAAGCTATGCACGTTAGTTATAGAAAGTATTCCAGGAAGCAGGTGACTTACGTATCTCGCCACCTGCTGTGTCAACATGTAGTTGTCACCCTCCCAGGTGAGCGTGGGCAGGTAGTCCGAGTACCACGGTCCGATGCCGCTGTAGCTGCTGTAACCGTGTCCACCACAAGCACGACGGCACACTTCGAGACCTTCACCTGCCGTCGTACTCGCCAGGGCCTTGAGACCACACGAAGTAGCATGCAGATCAGCCAAGAGATCGGCACCAGCCCGTAGTTCCTCCGGTCCAGCACCCCGCTTCTCCTGGGCGGCCTGGGCGGCTGCCTTCATACGGTTCTGGTTCTCCTGGTAGAGCCGCATCATTCCGCGGCCGGTGAAGTGCAGAGCATACATAGATGCCAGCAGGGGCAACAGCCGGACCTGCACCATCTTGTAGTTCAGCACCTGGTTCTCGCCCACATTGCCTGTGGCATCACGGTCCTGGAACTGCCTGCGTACGGCGCAGTAGCGAGTGGCAATGGTCACACCACGTGCCAGGACACCACCGGCCTGCAGCACGATGTTGGAGCGCACCCAGGTCAGAGTGCCATAGATGAGAGACGGCGACGCAGGACGCATGTACTCGTTGGTGTCCTTGTTAATGCGCGAGAAGCGGGCCAGCATGTTGATGTGAGGAATCTTGACCTTGTTGAACAGAAGGAAACCATTGTCCATGGTGCTGAATTGGTCAGTCATAGCCACAAAGCATCGGTCAGACTACTTACTTGTAACCGAACTTGGGACCAATGTCTCCCACGTAGACGTTCTCCAAGGGCTGATGTGTGTTCATGTCACGGATCTGGACCACGAAAGGGTGCGGGCCGTAGTTCTTGCCGCCGATGAACAGCTGCGCCATGACTACAGCGTGGTTGGCAGTGCGACCCAGCGATCCGATCCACCACTTGGAAGCCGTCAAAGTGGGAGAGTGGATAGTGAAGGTCTTATCCTCGGGGTTCCAGGTGGCTGTGGTCTCCAGTCCACGCACATTCGAGCCGTGGCCCAACTCCGTCTGTGCATAGCATCCCAGTATTTGATAGTTCTGTGCCGGCTCGAGGAAGAGTTTGTGTTGCTCGGGGGTACCTTGTTCCCGCAAGGTGACCTATCCGCAGTCTTCATTAGCTTCTGAATAGAGTAGCGCGAGACAACGAAACGAAAACGGAACATACCAAAAACATGGATGCATGCAATCCATAAGGAGTGGGCTCTCCAAGCAATTCATTGGCAGCGTGTAGCTCCTCCTGCGACCATTTGTGTTCCACCGACAACTGCTGCAGGCGCTTGGCTTTGGCTAGGGACCGCTGGATCCGCTCCGTCCGGCCCTGCGTGTGATTCTGTGACTTGTCGAAAACTTTCTCCGCCTGTAGGATAGACAGCAGGTGCTCTTGACGAACCAATGCCTCCTTGGTGTGCAGCAATTCAGCCAATTTGTCCACAGCGACATTGGACTGATCGCGCTCGTGCTGCAGAAGTTGCGAGCCCAGCGGGTCGGCCGGCTTCAGAGCCTTGACCCAATCCGGTGGTGAAGATGGCATGATGATTATAGTAATGATAGAGTGGAGTCTGCGGGGGAGGAGAACGTGGGAGAAAGAAGGGAGGAAGGGTAAACTGTTTGGGGGGCGTGAAAGACGTTATAAGAGATCCTCCACGGGGAAGCCGAAATGATGATTTCGGTCGAGAACTCCCGTCGATGGGCACTGGACCTGCCCCTTTGGGTAATAGCCGAGGCTCCCTAGGGGTATTAGCCTTGATGCCTGAGTGGCCAATTCCCGGTGACCGACTGACCGCCTGCCGCCTGACTTGTTCTGCCGCTCGGCTGACACGTTTCGGGGTTCCCCGGTAATTTTGCCTGCCGGAATCATCTTATCTTTCTCTTTCCCTGCCTGGATCCTCGGGCATCCCTGGCGATCTGATATCTGATACCTAACTCATCCCGACCCGACTTAACATGCACAGTCAGAAAATAACCCGGGATGGGATAGAATCTCTTCGATGGACAAAAACTGCCAGGTAACTGCCTCTACATATTTCAAGTATTCTTGGCTTGATATCTCAGCCGCATGCTTTAGCCGTGTACTACTAATGCCGGCATATCCGCTTGATGAGATGGACTTTCTTCACCAGCCTTCTAATGCGGTGAGACGGAATGCTTGATTGTTCTGGGTCGTCAGAATGGCGTTGCATTATATTTCACATGTGCTGTCCATATGCCCCTTCCATGAGATTCATAAAAAATGGCCACCCTTTCTATATTCTCTGCGGCTCCACTCTCACATGTGAGAATCTGGGTGCTCCGTGTTCCCCGGGTTGAGAACCTGATCCAACTTTGGTGTCATCAACAAGAATAAGAATCCACATGCCAGCCACATGACTTGCTTGTCCACTGCCTGGTCGGTTGCTAACTTGAAACGCTCCAATCAGCTGCTCGCGCGGACTGCATCCTGCGACAGCTCACCTGCTCCCTTTTGCCCGCCTCCGTATGTGTCCGCATATCGCGCCAACATCCACTCCTCCACTGTTATCGGCGGGTATTTCGCCTCCTCCGTCTCCGCCTTGCAGCTGGGAATGCACTCCACCACGTAGTCCAGATTCCCGGATATAAAATATGGCACGCTGTATCGTTCTTGTCCGCTTCTGTTGATAACCCGATGCAAGTTGGATATATAGCGATCGTTGGTCCAGCGCATCAACATATTGCCTAGGTTCACCACAAATGCCCCTGGAACGGGCTCGGCATCCGCCCATTCGGATGCCTCGCGGTCCCACACTTGCAGACCCCCTTTGTCATCCTGCAGCAGGATTGTGAGGCCGCCAAAATCAGTGTGAGCCCCGATGCCTAGGACTTTCGTAAGCAGGCATGTTAGCGCCCGTGCTTGAGATCATACCTCGTTCCTGGCCATCCGTTTCCTGGGGCGGATACCGCACCAATCGTATAATATTGGCCGAGTCGTGACAAAATCCGTTGAACCAGTTCTCATCCAAGTCCAGCGTTTGAGCCAACACCTGGAATATCTTCAGTCCTAGATCGGACATTACCGCGTGGTAGTCTTTCACCGTATTCCGGAACAGATCTGGACCTCGGATCTCATCGGGATATTTATTAGACCCTTGAGAAAATCTTCCGGTGGAGGGATGCCCTGGAGGCAGATCTTGCGACAGGTAATAGCTCTCTTTCAGATCGCCAGGCCCTTCTTTCTCGAATTTCTGCGAACGAAGGCCTTCGTATCCCAGATTAACGGGCTCAATCTCTGTTCCAGCGTTAGTGGCCAAGATCGGCTTTGCCAGAAGCGTCAAACTCTGCATGAGATTACCTCGACTGTACTTCTGCTTCACTTCAATTGGTAAGCTGAATAAATCCCGAGCCTGCTGAAGCATAGCCTCTTGGATATCGAGTGGGACACGATGGTTGATGAGCTGAAAGAATCCATGTCTCTCGCATGCGTGACGGACTTGTCGCACTAGCTCTGCCTTTTTCTCGGCATCACCGGCGTAGAATGCTATGATATGTTAGTTAGAGACAGATATATTGTTCCAATTATTCTCGAAATATATGGTCAGAACGTACGCCCAAAGTCGATGATGGGAGGTGCAGTGACCATTGTTTCAAAATTGTGATGAGAAGGACAACCTCGGGAGATTGTCTTGGTGAGGCAAGCGGGGTATGAGGCCAACTCGACAGCTGCACCACTCGTAGGTTAGCTTGTGTCCTGCATACCAACCGATCCCTGTCAAGGCGAATCAGGAACAGCGATGATGAGAGGTGCGACCGTTAGAACGCCGTCCGTGTCACTTCGGATACGTCGAGATGCTCTGCATGCCGATACGCCAATAAGACTCTTCCTTTGCTTTGCCAACCTGGAAGTATTTCCTTGAAATCATTCTGCGTAGAAAGGCAAATGCCAGTTCAATAGTCATTCAGCAAGTATTTGAAGTTCACACTCAAACAAGAAGCTATATAAACACATCAAAGGATAACTTGGTATTGTTAATCTAATGCTAATAAAGATTGCTAAGCATCATGCAACATCACAGTTTGGAGAGCACACCATCTGGCTGAAGAACACATAAATGCCTTCTCTGGATTTCAGAAATCGACCGACATCTGGAATAGTTAGCATAGTACCTGTTGGTAATTATACACATCAACTTACCCAGCGAGAGCCATCGTGATCATCAACTCCTGGCGCAATATCCGGATAGCTAGCTCCACTCCTTGCTGGCCATCATACTACAACTGGTTAATAGAATGTTCACAGAAGCTCCTGACTTCACTTACAGCAAGTCCCCAAATTGGAATCCGTCCCATAAAACAGTAGTCTGCCCCCAGAGCCAGGGCCTTGAAGATATCTGACCCCCGGCGGATTCCACCATCGATTGCGATCGGGATACGGCCCTTTGCAACGGGCGCGCAGTCGCGCAGTGCATCCAACGTGGCCGGGGCACCGTCTAGTTGGCGACCACCGTGGTTGGAAATAATAACCCCATCAACCTTGTGTTGTATTGCCAGTTCAACATCCTCGGGTGCATAGACTGCCCGTGTCAGCCAATATAAGTTTACTTCCATCCGGAGTGCTTCACTTACTGCCTTTCAACCAGATCTGAAGCTTGGTATGTTTCCTCAGCCAGGGGATCGCGCTATCCCAGTCAAGACTAGCATCTAGTAATTATCAGCGGCTCGTTCGAGGGTATATACGAATATTACCAACCATAATCTGTGCGATCGGAGGTATCGCTGCCATTACTGAGAATATTGGGATATTCCATATCTTGCGGTAGCTGGTAGTCGTTGCGATATTCATTCAGCCGCTTCCCAAGCACAGGAACGTCCACCGACAGGAACAACGCTTTGTAGCCGGCCTTTTCTGCTCGTTCCAGTAACTGCAATGTGAGTGACCGATCCTTGAGCACGCACATCTGCATCGCATATGGATTCCCGCAGCCTTGACTGGCGACATCTTCCATCGAGGTGGTCGAGTATGAGGACAGGCCCATACAAATACCGTATTTCGCGGCGGCACGAGAGGTTGCGAGCTCTCCTTCGGGATGGGCAAGTTTGTGCGCGGCTGCTGGGCTGAAACCGAAGGGAAGGGATACCTGTATAGTTGAGGAAGGGCATCAGCGACGATTCTGTGGTCTATTAGACTAATATGAGTGCTACCTTAGTCCCAAGTATGTCTGTGCTGGTGTCGATGTTAGCCACGTTTACCAGGACCCGTGGGCGGATTCTGTATCTGTCAAATGCGGCTTCGTTGTCGCGTAGTCTGCAACATCAGTGATTGTTCGATAATGGTAGCTTCGAAGATCTGTGCATACGTTATTAGGTCCATGGCACCTTCATTGTAGTAATCTAATTATCTCCAATGTTAGGGATCAACATTGCATGTTTCTCAGTGGTCAATTGCCCTACCTCTGACCATCTTTGGGAGCTTCTTGCTTCCAATCGCCTTCAGGTCGGCGATACAGCTGACATCCTTGTGGAATGCCTCTCCGCGATGAGCCATGCTGGCAATGAGATCAGTACAAGGCACCGGTTGATGAAAATGCGTCAAGAGGAGCAAGTGTCAGGTTTCAATAATATTGAGTTATTCTGTAGTAGGGCATAATTGGACCTATATACCATATGTCGGTGTCGCCGACTTTCCTAAATTTTTGACGTCCTGCGACCGCAGCTATTCCTTAACACCGAAAGAGGAAAGCAAAAGATAACAACTCTCAGATACCTTCCCAGCGTGACGCTGTCGCAAAGCGCGGACACTCTGAATTCAACTGCCCTATGGCATTGGGCAAGTCTGTGCAGCGGAAAGCCTTATCAGCTACTATCCCCGGAATTCTATTATGGGGTGATGATCGTTCCTCGGAATCACCTACCAAATTGAAATATGCCCCTCAGAAAGAAGAAGTCTACCCCTCATCACATCATTTCAATTTGAACCTGGTTATTTTACATGCCTCTTGTCAATTCTTTCCCTTGTCCTGCACTATCAACCGTTGCATTCCTGCATAGTAGTCACAATGGCGAAAATCTTTCTGTACGTATACTCCCGTGATCTAACTTTGTCATTGCGATTAACGGTAGTTATAGTACAGGAGCCTCAGGCTATATCGGAGGAGATGTACTCCATGCGCTGAAATCAGCCCTTCCAACCTGCCAGTATACAGTCCTGCTGAGGGATGAGGCGAAGGCGCAGAAACTCTCTCACGCATACCCTGATGTACAAATAGTCCTGGGAGACTTGGATGCTTCTTCTACTTTGGAACAGCAGGCACGTGAAGCGGACATTGTCATCCGTGAGTATCCCACTTCAGGACATACACTGCCTCTTACTAACATTGGTCTGTTTCTACTAGACACCGCAAGCTCAAACCATGTCAAGAGCGCTGAGGCCATCGCTCGTGGATTGACCGCAGCGGAAAGACCGAAGCCGGGTAACTACCTCTTACCTCCTCGTCCGTCCACTGCTTATCGTTGCTCGTAATGCAAACAGGTCACTGGCTTCAGATATCAGGCGCAAGTGTCCTTTCTATTCCCGACATTGTAGCTAGCGCCTTTGGAGAACCCTCCGACAAGGTCTACAGCGACGTCGATGGAGCCGATGACCTGCGGGGTCTCATCCAACAGTACTCTGCAAAGCGCGTGGTCGACAATTTAATCCTCAGCCTCACCCCTGCCGCCAATCGTCCGAAAACCGCGTTGATCTTTCCTCCTATCATTTATGGTCGGGGTAGAGGGCCGGTCAACCAGCGGAGCATACAAATTCCGGAGCTGGCAAGAGTGACGATGCAACGACGGAGCGGGATTCGGGTGGGTAAAGGAGAAGCCACATGGAGTAATGTGCATATCTCAGATGTCAGCAGCATCTTTGTGAAGCTGGCCGAGAAGGCTTTGCGGGATGAGGAAGGGGACTTGTGGAACAAGAACGGGCTCTACTTCCCGGGCAACGGGGCTATTGTAAGTCCTTACATTTATATACCTGGGTCCAGAAAAAAATATCTTCTGACAAGATTTAGTCATTCGGTTCTATCTCAGCGCAAGTGGCGCAAGAAGTGAAAAAGCTCGGCCTAGCTGAATCCGACTCGGTTACTGAGATCAGTCATGAAGAGGCCGATGCGCTCACTCCTCATGGTGGGGTGTTATGGGGGACCAATGCCCAGCAGGTAGCCCAGCGAGCGGCCAAGTACCTGGGATGGGTCCCCGAGGGGAGGACATTGGAGGAGGAGATTCCACACACCGTTCTCGCCGAGGCCCAAAGACTTGGATTGAAATAGATCTGTATAAGAGTTATTAGAAGACCAGAATAAGTGCATTCACATACAAATTATTCATACCCATCCAAATCAATAATATTAAGTAGTTATCACACGTAGAACCTGCTCTTATCAAGGTCCCATCAGATTGCAGGGACTAAACCCGGGACAGCAGGTCCTTCCGACGCTTCTCTGGTCCAATTCGGAAGGAGGTTCCGGTGTGGCGGAACTTCCTTCCTCCCCCGGTCGGACCGCACCCTTTCCTATAACCCGCTACTAATTGATTCACTTTCCAGCTTCAGCACAACGCCGGCTCATACCCCAGATTCTGTTCGATTACTATACTTTCCGTTTTTGTTGATATGGCCTACTCTGACTGACATGGCTTCTTCCAAGCAATCAGGTCGCCGGACTCGTCGTAGTCATGCCCTGGGAGCCTGCAAAACATGTCGTCGGCGTCATGCCAAATGCGACCAAAAGAGGCCTACTTGCCAGATGTGTCGGGCAACTGGCGTGGTATGTGAGGGGTTCGTTGATGAGATCCGATGGATGTCCGATCGGAAGTCCCAGCCTTCTTCGGGGACAGCAACTGGCAAGGCAAATGATCCAGAGAAGCAAGGGCCTCGACGCCATCTCTACACAGGTTCTTGATCCCTCTCTATAATTGATTACCTGATATACAAGTCCGGGATACTGAAGCTAATAAATTTGCCTTAGAGAAGTCAAGAGTCTCCATGAGTGATGCCTTGAGTGCAGACTTGGTGTCAGGCTCTATTGATGCCTCTTTGGCGGAGATCGAAAATAGATCACGGGATGCCGGGAGACCCTCACAGGGTGATGTTGTAGTCGGGCCATTCTCTGTGCTGGATTTTAGTCTTACCGGCCCCAAATCTGCAAGTAGGGCTCAGCCTGCTGACGAAACTACGGTCGCAAATGATATGGTTCTATCGTCCGGGAATACCCTGCCTGAAGGGGCTTCCGGGGTCAGCCCAGCTCTGTCGCAAGACTCGCTCGCCTACATGAATGATCTGCTGCAGTGGTCAGACATTCTTAGCTTGGACCCTCAGTTGCATAATGCTACACTATCTGGCACACTTGACCTGGGTGATTGGTTGCCCCTCGATTTAGGGACACAGGCCCCTATACTTGAACATAATCTCCTTGGCGAAGCGCCTAGTCTAACGGATGATACAGCTGCTGTCTACAATTCTGGCCCAGAGAATGACTGTGCTTCTAAGATGATATCAGCAGTTGATAACAATCCACCTGATGTACTAGCAGATGCTCATTTCCTATTACGGCACTTTCAGGATCATGTTATTTCACGTATGATGGCCGTTCCTTTAGACCAGAAGTCACCTTGGAAGATACTCAATGTGCCGTCTGCTGTTGTAACATACAGCGATATCACTTTCCTCGGGTCTCAAAATATCACTCACGCTCGGTTGGCTAACCTTTACTGCCTATTGGCCTGTTCGGCCCTTCATCTAACAGTAAATCCTTCCATGAGGACCTCAGACTTGACGGAACGCTGGAAGCCGGTAGCAGAATACGCTTACCATCTAGCCAAAGACCATATGCAGATGTCCTTGAAGCATGAAACCCAAGAGCCAAAGAAGGCCAAATACAAGGATCAGTTAATGGCAATCTGCGCTTTGACTGAGTTTGCTGTAAGACTGCTGTCAAGTTACGTTCCAGATAGATTGCTGATCGAAGCAGGTTCTAAGTGGCCAGCAGCAGGACGCGAGGTGCTACATGATTGATGCTGAGCGGCTCCTACGCCTCCGAGGTTTGCCAAAACAACGCATCTCTCAGAAAGCACGCCTGTTACACCATACATATACTTGGCTACGGATAGTAGGCGAGAGTACCTACGTTTTGCACAACTACACACCGTCGGATACCTTTATTGAGGCGCTCAAATACCGGTTTCGATACCAGAGAGGCGAGAACACTCAGGCAGCTGGTTACCGAACATCACGCTTGGACGACTTCTTGCGCCTCGATCGGCGGCCGTCCGATAGCGACCTGGATATTGACGAGCCAAAGGAAGCTGATGTTGGCTTATATGACATCCACCTGCAGGATTCGCGGAAATACCCTGCCACACTATACAACCAGATCTACGGAGTATCCGAGACGTGGCTTAGCTTGGTATCTCAGACAACGCGCTTGGCCAACGTAATGGAGACTTTTCGAGTTGCGCGCGAGATGCATCCAGGAATAAACGCAAGTCTTGATGCATGGGAAGCATTGCACCGGCGCAGTGCTCGCCTCGAGAATATGGTTTGTACCTTTGCCTCTAGGAAAACGGAAGATAATATTTGCAATTCGGCGAATTTACTGGCCAGGTCACATGGGTGCCTTCTACAGGCTTTGAACTCTGCACTGGTTATCTTCTTTTACAGACGAATCCGTCAGGTCCACCCGGCTATTTTGGAGAGCCAAGTGGACAAGGTGATCTCGGCATTGAACGAGTTTGATGTAGCGTTAGTGGAAGCCGACCAGACTGGCCCAGGCACTGTATGGCCTCTGTTTATTGCTGGGTGCGAGGCTACGACGCCCGCTAGGCGGCAATCGATCACGGCGCTTCTGGACAAAGGAGAGGCACGATGTGGATTTTCTGCCTACCAAACTGTCCTGGATGTCATGAAACAAGTCTGGGACAAACAGGATGCACATTTCACGCGAGGCAGAGGAGAGACGTTTCCGACTTGGCTTGATGTCGTCAAAGGCAAACAAATATGGCCTATCTTAACATGATGGCTACCGTGGGTCTATTACAAGGCGCTACACGAGATACGATAACATGTGCTCATAAATTCATTGTTCTATATCCAATTTTAATGACATCATGACGAACGCTTTACAACATTAACACTCGCATTCACCATCAACTGGGCCAGTTCACTCTGCAGATCCTCCTTCAAGAGGGCGAATGGCTTCCGCAACCCACCAGTCGCCTGGCCCCTCAGCTCAACGCCTGTCTTGACTGCCGCAGAGTAATTGTGCGACTCAAGGAACTTGCAAATGGGCCATGCCTTAGCCCATAGTTCACGGCCCTTCTTGAGATCTCCTTCGACAGAGACCGCATTCCACAGCTCTACCGCCAACTCCGGGATGATGTTGGCAGCACCCCAAATCGCTCCAGGCGATCCAGCTGCCAACCCATAGAACGTAAGGGTATCCCACCCGTTGAAAGCGGTGATCTGATCCGACAACCCAAACACCAATTCCGTGTATGCCGGCGCATTTCCGGAGGTGTCTTTGAGGTACTTGACGCCGACCTTGCTCAGGTCCGCTATTTGCTGGGGGGTAAGGGTCAACCCGCTGGCAGAGGGAATATTGTAGTAGACAATCGGCAGCTGACTGGCTTCATGAATCTCAGCCATGAGCTCGGTCAATTGCTCCACGTTCAAGGGATCGTAGAATGGTGGCACAACCATCACGGCGGCTGCACCAGCTTGTGCGGCATGACGTGCCAGGTCCACTGCCTCCTCGGTGGAGGTACTGCCGGTGCCTGCTACGACAGGCACACGGCCAGCTGCGTACTCGACGCAGAGCTCCGTCAGCTTCTTGCGTTCTTCGCGTGTCATGGTGGTGAATTCGCCTGTGCTACCGCCGGGCACGAGGCCATGCACGCCGGCGCCGATCAGGTGGTCGATGTGAGACTTGAGTCTTGCTGCGTCGATCTGGGTCTTGTCGTCTGTGAAGGGAGTGATCAGGGCAACCATAATGCCGTGAAGGGCGGGGAGTTGCTGTGTGACAGTCATGTTGGATGTAGTGGTGATTGCTTGGTATAGCTAAGAAGAACGTGAGGATGGAAGGAGGGAGTGTCTGCTGGACTCATGAGTGAGTCTTGAAGCCATTTTTATTTCATAACGCGACGGGACTGCCTTCCTTTCCAACTACACTCCAAGTCTATACTACACTGTTAATGATGTTTCGGTTAATGGCGAAGCCCTAACTCTCTGGATAGAATGTTGGAGGGGCTCTAAGATATCCATGCCGGAACCACCTTCCTGTTTTGGCGATGCGGGTAACCCAACGGAAGGCAGTTCCGGCATGCAGTGGGGAGGGCATTAGCGCATCCACTGGCGCCAGACTATCAATGCGTCTCGACATCAATGAAGTGAGGGGTAATGGGGCGATCTTATCCTCGTTATCGCCTTATCGGAAGAGACAATTGCTGACTAGTGACACACTTCAATTGCAAAGTGGGCTGCGCGGAGGCACATCCCACATCCGGAACAGGAAGTTCTAGCCAAGCAGCTTATATCAGAACAACACATCTGTCTTCGCGCTGCTTATCCCTATTTTCTGCAAGAGTTATTATCTTTCTACATTAAGACCCAGAAGAGACTATGGCAGACTCCCTCTCTGTCGACATCACCACCCCCAATGGCCTGCAGTACCAGCAGCCGACCGGCCTGTTTATTAACAATGAGTTTCGTCCTTCGTCGAGTGGCCAGACTATCGTGTCTTTAGATCCTGCGTATGCACCTTACATCTAAACTACTCTCAACCTTCCATGCTGACTTCTACAGCACCGACAAGCCCATCGCCACCGTCCACGCCGCAACAGCAGAAGATGTCGACGCTGCCGTTCAAGCCGCCAAAGCGGCGCTATCACACTCCTCGTGGAAGCTCCTCCCCGCCACCGAGCGCGGACAGCTAATGGGTCGTCTGGCCGATCTGATGGAAGAGAACCGGGAGCTTTTTGCTGCTATTGATGCATGGGATAACGGTTCGTATAGCCCCCCTTGTCACCGCTGTGCGGAAACTGACTTGGCCAACAGGCAAACCCTACCAAGTCGCCCTAACCGAAGACCTCACCGAAGCCATCACCACCATCCGCTACTACAGCGGCTGGGCCGACAAGACCTTCGGACAAACCATCAGCACGACCCCCCAAAAGCTCGCATACACCATCCGCCAACCCATCGGCGTGGTCGGACAGATCATCCCATGGAACTACCCGCTCTCGATGGCGACGTGGAAGCTGGGACCCGCGCTCGCCTGCGGAAACACCGTCGTCCTCAAGGCTGCTGAACAAACACCCCTCAGCGTCTTGGTCCTCGCAACACTCATCAAGAAGGCCGGCTTCCCGCCCGGAGTGGTGAACATCATTAACGGCTACGGAAAAGAAGCCGGCGCTGCGCTGGTCCAGCACCCACTCGTCGATAAGATTGCCTTCACGGGCTCCACTGCTACCGCCAGAGAAATCATGAAGATGGCAGCCGGCACATTGAAGAACATCACTCTCGAGACAGGCGGAAAGTCGCCCTTGATCGTCTACCCGGATGCGGATCTTGAGCAGGCAGTGAAGTGGTCGCATTTCGGCATCATGTCTAACAAGGGCGAGATCTGCACTGCTACGTCGAGGATCTTCGTGCATCGGAGTATTCTCACTACCTTCTTGGAGAAATTCAAGGAGGCAATCGAGACAACTTCCAAGATCGGCGATCAGTGGGACGAGAATACCTACCAAGGACCACAGGTCACCCGGGCACAGTACGAGCGGGTTCTCGCCTACATCGAGACAGCCAAACAGGAGGGCGCTACGCTAGTCACCGGCGGCAAGCCCTATACCCCCAAGGATGAAAAGAACGCAAAGGGCTACTTCATCGAGCCGACAGTGTTCACTGACGTGACTGATGACATGCGCATTTGTAAGGAAGAGGTATTCGGGCCTGTGGTGGTAATTCTGCCATTTGATTCGGAGGAGGAATCGGTGCGTCGCGCCAACGATACCACGTATGGTCTGGGCGCTGCGGTCTTCACGACTGATCTGGAGAGGGCGCATCGTGTAGCGGCAGATATCGAGGCTGGCATGGTCTGGATCAATAGTAGCCAGGACTGTGATCCGCGAATTCCGTTTGGAGGTGTCAAGCAGAGTGGAATTGGGCGTGAGTTGGGTGAGGCGGGGCTGGAGGCGTATTCGCAGGTTAAGGCGGTGCATGTTAATATGGGGAGTAGATTGTAGACTAGACTAGAAGGCAGTATGCTTCAATGAATAAATTATGATGACTTTTTCAATGTTCTAAATAAGGTCGATTTTTCTCTGTTATCTGAAGATGGAAGTTTTCGTGGAAGCACATGAAGTTGAAGTACTAGTAGTACTAGTAGTACTGCACAAGCAAATATATATTTCCGGTACAACACAAACACCTTGTCAATTTCCTTGCTGAACTGGACCTGACTAGAAATACAAACTAGCAGGTCTATTCGTTCATGGCCTATTCGTTCATTTTTATCAAAAGCGAAAATAACAGTAAAGTTGACAATACTTGTAGTAGCTAGTACCGGTAAGACTGTTCTCCATGGTGTGCGACGCTGCTCATCTAAATCCATGATGCAGTTAAAAATGGTGTTCTTCCGCAGGGATAAAGATTAGCAGTCGGGACTAGCCCCACTCTGGGTACCATAGGAAAAAAGCAAAAAGAAATTCGAATGCATCATCCGTGAATCGAACACGGGCCTCATCGATGGCAACGATGAATTCTACCACTAGACCAATGATGCTGGTGCTTGTAATGCTTGGCAATTGAGTGGTCTAAGATCCAGTGGATTAGATGAGTTTTTACAACTCGAAAACAAGACGAAGTGGATTAGGATATTCAGAATATGGAATAGTTGGATCGTCTCTCTACAACTTTAACCTCTTTAATGTATTTCGCTATAGTAATATCCAACATTCTTGAATAACTGCCAAGTAAGGAAGATGACAACTGCCTGCAAGTGAAACCCTTGCAGACATACATGACTTAATCTATGCCTCACATCATCCATCGCAGACTTCTACCAAACCTGACAAGAACACTAGGATTCTTGAACAAAGGAAGCATCCAAATCATCGCCGTCCACGCCGTCCACATCTTCCACGTGCGCTTATCGGCAACTCCTTCCCGAAGGAATAGGATCCTCCCAGCAATAGCTATTCCCAACGCAACCGGGAGAATATACCCGGGCACGTCCAGCTCCCAGAAAGCAGGACAAACAACGGACCAGATCGCAACAGGAATCGCAACGGACCACCGGGCCGGCCCGTCACCCAACACAATGGGCATTGTACGGCGGTTCTTGGCACGGTCCCCTTCCACGTCCTTGACGTCTTGTATATGCATCGTCGTGCCGATCACGGCACTGGTGAGCCAGATCCACCGCCATGCTCGAGGGAGTAGGTCAAATCCGGTTCCGGTCGCGACACGCAGTGATCCCTTGTTGTATTGACTGAATGCGAGGGCTAGAAGGACATTCCGTAGGATGAAGCCGTTGTCACCACCGCCCAGGTCATTGTATACCCAGTTCAAGGTGTAAAGAAGAGCAGTCTCCTCCCATGCACCGAGGTAGACGCTGAGTCCGAGAACAACTGGGATCGTGAGCAAGAGTAGCTGGCGAGTCTGTAGGATGCTGATCCGACCTGCGGGCAGTGGTCTCCAGGGTCGGTTGATTTTGTCTTCTGCCACGGAGTCCGGGTGCCTTTGATTCGCCAGATTGAACACGAACAGGTTTAGCCAGTTCCATAGCATGACCATGGGTATCCGACAAACGACTGAGAGTAAGTGCGGAGTGTTAACATCTGTCAGAAGAGGCCCGGACAGAGCAGCGCAGATTCCGAATGCTGTTTCAGGAATGACAAATGTTGCAAAGTCGTCCGCAGTGAACAGCCAGATAGTCAGAGCTAGGTCTCTCCAGTACCATGCTTTCTATACAGCTGTGAGCTTTCTGGAATCGTGAGCATACTAAAGATCACTCACATT